AAATAACATTTTTAAAAAATTCTGTCCCACGTTTTCATGTCACTACCGAACACAGTTTTTGTAGGTGGGCGGAGACTTAATTTTGCCACACCCCCTGCATTTTAGATCAGGAAGTGAGACTGCATCCCTGTCCCTCACCGCCACATGATGAGCAGTTATATCTCATTGTTTTGAAGCAAATGTGACCCAAAGTGTGAAAATAACTGTGAAACATAAAGAATAGTCACTACCAAAACACAGATTTTCTGCAGTTATGAAAACGTTTTGTGTTTTATTGAACAATATGTTGATTTTAGTGCGTAAAGCTGTTCAAAGTTGTGTTTTTTGGTCATGTACTGGCTAGTGTGTTCCCAAATATGTTTTAGCTCTGACATTGAACCAATTTGATGGAGGATCCATGTATGTATGTCTATTAAGTATTTCACAACAGCTTTGAAAGCAGCTAAGCCGACCAGATTTTGGGACGAGATCCAATTCATAATCAGATTATTGCAGTTGTTATGAAATGTTTTAAGCTAAAGAATGTTAAGCCCCTTTTTTTTCTACATAAATGTCTCGCACAAGCTGTAGGGAGTATCTGAAGTGTTTTCAGCTGTTTTCTGTAAGACTGGGAGGACTTTGTTTTTTTTACCGGTCAGTGGGGAGAGACTGTGAGTGAGGGGGAGAGAGACTGCCTGAGCGAGCTTCTGAGATGTTTGTCTGGACAGTGTAATCTTGTCTTATTACTGCAACTCTCCATTTAGCTTCTTAAACAGAGCCTGTTTGCTGAATTTCGTCTCCAGGTTCAGCGCAGTCTGTCTTCAGAGCTCTCTCAAGCCTTTCCTCTTACCATGAATTGGTTCGTGTGCTTGGTTAGTGTGATTCTCTTCTCACAGCTCTGGTCGTGTCCAGCGGCTCCCAGCAGCCCGACGCCTCTAGACCCACGCTCGATTCCCCAAGGCGAGGTGGAGTGCCCTTCCAGCTGTCTTTTACTGGTTTACAACAATGAATCCATGTCTGAGGTACGTTCTGCTACTCTCTGTTTGTCTCTCTGGGAAAAGTAGCTTTGCACTCCAGCTTTGCACATACACGGCCTAAAAGTATTCAGCTTCCTCTTTCTGGATTATAAGTGATACTAGTTCGATTTGTACTGTAAGTTTATATGCTCATTTAACACTAAACACTTCTCACAGCTTTCAAGGTAACTTGAATTTTAGGTTTGATGTGAAATGGTCAATTGTAGAGACTCAGATTTCTTTACAGTGGTGGTGATAGGAACCAGGGGTCACCATGACTACAACAGAAATATGGACATTTTATTTACTATCCAAAACCACCAGTGAACCTACATGAGTCTTCAGAGCTTTTATGTTGTATGTTTATGATGGAAAAATTATTTTTGTTTGGGAAATATTTCATCTATATCTTCTTCTCTACCATAAATGGATTTCAAATGTATATTTTAGCCCAAAAGCTTCTCAAAACTATGATAAAACAATGTTCCGGGCATCAGGCCATTTCATGTAGTACCTTTATGTGAGGGAGCTTTTAGAGGTGGACGTCTGTTTCCTATCACCACCACTGTGAACAATTCTGACTTTGTAAGTTTCTCTTCCCCCAAGAAAATGTATTTTTTCTGATTTGCCACTATTTTACCATCATCAACATTACGTATAAAAACTCAGAAGACGTGTAGGTTCACTGTTATTTCATGTATAAAATAAAATGGATATATTTGCTTTATGGGTTTATTATACATTGTGACCCCTGTTTACTGTCACCACCACTGTTAGAAAATCTGTGTTCGTAAGTTTCTCTGCAATGAAACGTTTCACAACAAACCATTTCAACAACTGAACCGTGCAGAATTTTTGAAAATTCCCCTTTTAAGACATTCTGAGGCCTTGCATAAGCTATTTTGTGGCCCCTAACAGACATCCAATTCATTCATCATGCCAGCATTGTTTGTTCATTTAACAAGGATTGTTTGTTCATTAAACAAGGATGAAAAAGTTCTTTGGAGCAATGCCATAAAATAACCCCTTTTGGTTCCTTAAAGAACATTTCAATTGATGGTTCTTTAACCTTTCAAAAACCTTAATATACCTACATATGATCAGAACTGTATGTTCAAAACAAGAACCATTTAGCAACCTTTCTTTTAAAGCTTGTACACCTGTATTTGTGTTTTTATTTCTGCTTGATGTCATCCAGTAAGTCGTGAAGATGCCCACTAAACTACACAAAGTCTTAAAGCTGCACTATATAAGTTTTGTGGATTTGGAGACACAACATTCAGACCCCTTCCCTGTGTGGATGAATCTGAAGACTAAAAGAAAATTCAAAGAGAACTCAAAACTTGGTAAAGGACGCATCTTCCGAGGATGTGAGTGAATTATCTACTAATGTCATCACATCTTCATCAGTATGGTGTTGATTTTTTAGACAATTTGAGGCCTAAACATCGAGCCAGACCTACTTTTTGAGCCTGTGTGTGTGACAATACATAAATATGTATGACATGGTCTGAAAACCCCCGACTCGACACTTCTGACTTTTAAATGATTATTCAGGCTTTACGGCACGACTTGCAGCAGCCCATGCTTACTATAGTTTAGCCTGATTTTATTCTCCTCACTCAGTAATGAGACTTCTTTCAGTATTAGCACAAAATCATAAAAAGTGCGGCTTCAATGTCAACATAAGCACATTTCTCAGTTGCTGTTATTTCATTTAGAGTCATGCTCAAGGGGACACTGAGGCTCTGAGCTGCAGCCATTGAGTAACCACAGCCTTACAACCTGTCAGAGGCCCCTATTATCAGGCCTTCCTGTAAACCTGCAGAGGGAATCAACACCCAGCAAACAGAAAATGGGGAGAGAAAGCAGAATGAATGTGAGAATGAGTTGGGAGATGAATTGTTTGACTAAATGGTACATCAATATGTCTAGTTAGGGAACATAATTGTATCCTGTTGAAATTATATACTACTAAGTTGTATTGATTCCACACACCCCATCTCGTCTCCAACCTTTTTATTTTACTGTTCTGTTTTAAAACATTTGCTTATTAAAAAGTGAAAATATGCACCTTTACCCCGGGAGAAACTTAATTAAGGTACACAGTTGAATTTTAAAACCATTGCTGTGCCTTTGAGGGAGCATTTACACAGTTCGTACCTTGATAAATGAAAACTGTACCTGCATAGTACCTTTTTTGACAGTATACAATCCCCCAGCATCTTCAAAGGGGACAATAAAGGCAGGCTTGTAGTTCTAATCAGAGCTTATTGATCAGTAAGGGAGAGAGCAGTGAGCTCTGTCAAATCCCATCTCACATTTCCATTCAAACACTGAGGAGAAGACCCCCAATCAGCAAGACAAAGGCTTTGATTGTCAGCCATGATCAGATCCTACCAGAAGCTCTGTGTATTTGCCATAATCTGGCCCTTTGTACAGCCTACAGAGGCTCAGTCACTGTAGCGACAGACGATGTGTAGAAGCCCCGGAGAGAGCGGTTCTCAGATGATTCTGTCTTGCCTTGATTGCATTAGACTTCTCTTACTCTCTGTGCATGTAAAAAAGGCTCAAAGCAGTGTGTTCAGTCTGAGAAATGACGGACTTTGAGTTTATTCCCATTCAGCTTCAGGGAGCACTGCTAATTAGGGTTGCACTGATACTGATACCAACAGTATGATATTATCCTGTATCTCTTTATGACGTCAGGCATAACTGCTGGGTTGCTGCTACACTCTTAAAATGATGGTTCTTCAAGGGTTTAGTAGGGAAAATTGTTCTATATAGGCCTATGAACACTCAAAGAGCCCTTTGCATGATTAAAAGGTTCTTTGCATTATGAAAGGGTTCTTCAGATTGATGGAGAATGTGCTGTAGATGGTTCTATATAGCACCAAAAAGGGGCTATTGTTACAATGTCAAGCTTGAAATAATAGAAGAACCTATCAATCTGAAGAACCCTTTCACGATGCAAAGAACCCTGTAATCCTGCAAATGGTTTTTTGAGTGTTCATGGTTCTATACACAACCATTTTCTTTACTAAAGAACCTTTGAAGAACCATCCTGTTTAAGTGTGTAGATGGCACTGTCTGTCTTTTGTGTTTACTGTTAGTTATTTAGTGTCACATAACTTAAAATACAGTAACTTTTATCTTTTTAATCAAATTAAAATACTTTTAAACTATTCGGTACACTCTTAAATAAGATGCTTCTTCAAGGGTTCTTTAGTAAAGAAAAGCATTCTATGTAGAACTATGAACACTCAAAGAACACTTTGCATGATTAAAGGATTCTTTGCATCATGAAAGTGTTCTTCAGATTGATGGAGAGTGTGCTGTAGATAGTTCTGTATTGAACCCTTTTTGAAAAGGGTTCTGAATCGTACCAAGAAAGGTTCCACTATGGTTACAAGCTGGGTTGTTTTAATTATTTTGTTTGTTCTAATTGATTTACATATTTTGTGTTTGTTATTATTCTGTTTATTATTGTAATGTATTTTTATGTATGCTTTATAGGGCCCCACAGTAAATGAAGCCTATGTCTCAGTGGGCTAACCTACCCCTGTATATATAAAAGAGGATAATAATTGTCATTGGTGTGATTCAAATTAATTGAAGTGCATTGTCTATTGTTCCCATGCAGTCTCAAGTTGAATAAATAACATCAATATTGCAATCAACACGAGAAGCTATTTATTTGTACAACGATCAGGCATAAACTCCAGCAGCACTGCTGTGTCTGATCCACTCAGACCAGCGCAACACACACCACCTCCACGTCAGTGTTACTGCAGTGCTGAGAATGATCCACCACCCAAATAGTACCTGCTCTGTGAGGGTCCATGGGGGTCCTGACCACTGAAGAACAGGGTAAAAGGGGGCTAACAAAGTATGCAGAGAAACAGATGGACTACAGTCTGTAATTGTAGAACTGCAAAGTGCACCTATATAGTAAGTGGAGCTGATAAAATGGACAATGAGCGTAGAAACAAGGAGGTGGTCATAATGTCATGCCTGATTAGTGTATATATGCTTATCACAAGCCATTATGGCTTTTATCAGATGCAGAATAATGTACACTCAGTATTGCTGGCTAATCTGGATGACTGACACTGGATAATCCACACCATGACTTGCCTTTGTGATGTGAATAGTGCCAAAGGGTGTGGCAGTAGCCCTCTCTCAACAGGGGTGAATAAAATGCCAAAGTTTTAATATCTAATTGAATGTGGTGAGAAGTTTTGTATGAATTTTGGTACTTAAAATGACACGAACTTTATAAGTGGACCTTACGAAAAAAAAATATAGTTCAACAATATAGTTTATAATGGGTCCTTTAACATATGAATGAGTAGACTGCCCCTTTAAGAGAAGGAGGGACTGCTGCTGTTCCCAGGAACTAGGAAGTTTACTATACAGTGCAGCTGGACATCAGCAGCAGCACAGCAGAGCTGAGTGGGTTAGAGTTAGTGCTGGAGACCTTAACACATTCACTCTTCACACAGACCTGTAGATCCTTTTTCTTTTCAGTGCTTTCTTATTTCCTCTGTTTATTCAAGGCAAGTGAAGTGTTCTGAGGTTCTTGTGTTGAGCAGCCACACCCTTTATCATGTCTTTCCTCCCCCTCTCTGATTTCTCTCTCTGCTGTGGCTTAGGAAGGACTAGTCATGACTTCAAGAGATCTCAATCCTGATTACTATGAAGCCCGGCGGGCGGGCAATGCAGTCCAGCACTACATCAACACCCTCTACGGGTCCCCCTTCAGGCTGTACTCGGTGACCCAAGTCCACAAGGCGAGAACCGAGGTGAGCAAACCACATCACCTGAGAGAGAACCTGAGATTTACTAAGTGATAAATTCCTTCTTTTTCAATAAAATTTGCTTTCTACAGTGTCAGACATTTTAAAGAGAAATTCCACTGATTTTTCCCACATTTTTGCATAATTAAATGGTTAAGATAAGTAAACAACATCATTTAGTGAAATGCTCTGTTTTGGAGTTCAGAATTGTTCACTGTGGTGGTGACAGGAACCAGACGTCCACCTCTAAAAGCTCCCTCACAAACTTTTATATGAAATGGTTTTGAATACACTGCCCGATGTCATTCGCTGTTTTGAGAGGTTTTTAGATTAAAAATATTTTTTAAAACCCATTCATAGCAGGGAGGTACCCGCAGGGTGTTTTGAGGTAAAGTAGTGCCCAAAGAATCTTTTTATTTTTTCAGATTTTCCACCAATTTACCATCATAAACACTCTATATAAAACTCAGAAGAATGTGAGTAGGTTCACTGGTGGTTTTGGATGGTAAATGAAATGGCTATACTTGTGTTGTAGACATGGCGACCCCTGGTTCCTATCACCACCACTGTAAAGAAATTTTGGAATTTGAGATTTTTTTTAAATTGGTGGAATTCCCCTTTAATGCGTTCTGTGGTTGAGCAACTTTTAAATTTCTCATCAACTGTCACTCACAGGCTATGGCTGACACAGGGATGAAGTACTTTCTGGAGTTCTCTGTGAAGGACTGGGTTGGCGAAGTAAGTTCACAGCTTTTACTTGTATTGAATGGCTTAATACAGTACAGTTAGGCAGAACCTTTGGCGTATACTCTGCTGAGAGGTTAATAGTTAGCCTGAGATAAGCTTCTACAGCCCTTAGCAACCATATAGTGAAACACACATACATTAAAACAGGCAACCCACTCCCACTTTCCAACCAAAGGAATATATACTTATACGATATGTGATAACCAGTTTTTTTACTTTACTTTTTACTTTAGTTTGACTTTGTTTTATTTTAGTTTTATTGCTAGCTAGCTGGGAGGGTGAGGGGTAGCACATGTGTTATGATTTATGTGCGCATTTGAATTTAGCTGAAGTGTAGTAAAGAGCAAAATATCAAAATTACACAGTTTACCTTCCATTATATGTAGCTACCCCAGTACAGCTGGTTACGGCAAAACTAGCATGTCGATGTTGTCGGAAGAAAACCTTGTATCTCCAAAATGGTAACTTTACAGGAGAAAGAAAAAACCTACTTTACTTTTAATGTAAGTCAATGAAACCAGACTTTTTAGGTCATTTCTTGTAGTCCATTCTTCATGAAATTTACACACAATATAAAGAGCAACAGGCGTTTTCAAATTATGTCAAAAACTGAAAAACGTCAAAAATGGAGATACAAGGTTTTCTTTTGACAGCAGCGATATGTTGTGTTTTGGATGTTGGTATGCTGGTCAACCAGCATGAACACGATGGGTGACCAACTAAACCAGCACCAGACCAGCATAAACCATGGACTGCATGCTGGTCTGTGCTGCTTTTTTCCACAGGACCATCAGCCTCGTAGCTCCAGTGCAAACTACAGAAGCAAACATCTGACACTATACATGCCTTGACTGATTAACTATATTTGGGGCAAGCGCAGAATTGGGTACATTTGATTGTATGCATTTATATTTTTTAAACTACTCAAGCTAAGCTAAAGTATCCTGTATTCCAGAGCTCAGAATGGCGTGGATCGGTGGAGGTGCTCTACCCCAGGGGTGAGACACAGGCTCCCCCTCAGGTCCAGGGTTCCTGGGGTGAGTTACCTCAGCTCAATATTTCAGCTAAGGAGCAGGCGTTCTACCAGCGCTACAGTGCAGTAGACAGTGCTGTGTCTGCAAAGGACATACCAGGTAAGACCTCCACAACATTGATTTAACACCTGATGATTAAGGCTGTGTCTTTATTTGTGCCCAAAAATGATCTTTGACACCTTTTTATACCACAAATACTATTACAACTGCAACAGACTCTCTTTCTCTCTTTCTCTCTAGATAGTTATGGTAACGTAGACCCAGAGATGAAACCTTTCTGGCACTTGGCGCGGGTGGCAGCTAGCTTCATCATGCTGAACGAGTCCAATGAGAACACACTGTATAACATGGCTCAAGTGGCCAAGATCACACAGCTGGTAGGCAGATGATGTGAAGATGATCATGTCTGGTAGTACTAATGTAGTTTACTTCATGTAGTGTTTTATCAGACAACATTTAAGACCAATCCCAGGCTGATTAAAGAGATCATCAAATGGGATTTCCCTTATCTTGTTTTGTCACAGCTACCTCCACAACTATTCTCTATTTTAAACATTTCAGGAGACTCAAGATGACCAGCTGAGGTTTGAGTATGAGGTTCTCCTTCACGACATGGTTTCTCAGGTAACAATAAATATCTAATGACTGAAAGAAAATGATTAAATCATCTTTATTTATGGCAGGATGTCTGTAGGTATTAATTTGTCTGAAGTTACAATTTGCTAATTATAGGATTAATAAGTATAGTGGTGTCACCATAGAAAAAGACAAAGGAAACATTGTGCTATAAAGGCGAATGCTCTTTTATTGAACAGGCAGAACAGCCACTCAGTGTTAACTGAATGGCCGGGATAGCAGGCAGATCATTCCTAACCACGCACTTTCTCCTGAGGATAGGAACGAACACTGCACAAACTCCCCCACAGCCCAGCACAGAATAGTGACATCACAAAGTTTGAGTAGAGTCCCTGGGGCATTCACGAACATGCCACACACCAGCAGCACTCCCTTAGCTGCTCTCTGCTTCCTCTGTCGCCCACCGCGCTGTCAACGCCAGTCAGGGTGCTGCTAGTGTGCGCTGGAGCCCCGACTCTTGGCCTTGGCCAACCATGCTGGAAGTGCCTGCCTAAAGTGACGCTGCAGGGCCACGGTCAACATTGCCAGGCCACCACACTGCTTCGCTGGCAGGTCCTCACCAGCTGCCATCCTCTGGATGGGCTCCACTGTCGAGCCTCGCTGCACTGCTTCTTCTTCCACAGTCCTCAGCTGGGCTCGGTCTTCTCCATTACCTGCCTTTAATTTGTGGAGGCACCATTTCACTGGGGGGCCCCTATCCCACTTCTGATGCCACTGTGGCATCACTGTAGATTAAGATGCATTATTATGTTACAGTATATGAATTTACTTAAATCGCGGCTGTATCCTAGATTCTTTCTTTTCTTTTTTAAGAATAATGCAGCATTGCTCTGGTGACGCAGGGGATAGTCTTAGCTGTGTTACACTGACATTACCTGCATTAAACTAATAGACTGTCTTAAATAATTAACAGACTAATTAAATTTGAAGTGTTATTAAAAAGGTCTTACATTGGAATTACATTTAACTTGAGGATGCCTGCAGACACCCTGTACAACAAATTCAGTTTTATCATTATACCTACATAGAAAGCTTGATGGAAACATCTGAGTGGCACTAACATCAGCTTTTCTTTTTTTATTATATTAACCGAAATATGAAAAGCAGAAGCTGAATGTAGATATAGATTTGCACAAACTGATCTCATTAACTGTTTACACTGTATTCTTTGCAGGAAATTATTCGCTGGAAGCTGTTGGTCTCCTGGTCTCCAGCAGGGGGCGTGAAAGTGTTAGAGACTGAACTGCTGCCACGATGCCACTGCAAACCCCCAACTCAGTGATGCCAGCTTTTTCAGTCCCAAGATCAAATCCACCAACCTCACCAAACTGTAACTTTTGTACAAATGGCATGATGCCTCATGTAAAAATGTTATATATCTCAGTCATGACTTAAAGCAAGCACAGCCTGTTCTTTTATGTCAGCTACATTTCTCTACCATTGTATTATGTTACGGCTATTACTTTGCCTGTAAGATGACATTAGGTGAGTGATGTTACCTAATGAGATAAAGCATTTTGTAACAGCTAATAGGAACATCGGTAATAATTTACTATCTACCTACACAGGGACTTTACGACACATTTAGGCCCAATCCCATTTCTTATTTTAACCACTACCCCTTGTTTGAGTGTCACCAGTGGTTGAAATCTTCCCTATGAATTGGGACCCTCAAATAAAAAGAGCATTACTTCATTAACAGGCTGCTCTGTAGGCAACCCTGCCAGTCTGCAGTGGTAGCAGAGGAGGGTAAAGTTCAGCTCATCACTGCTGGGCTTTAGTTACATTTAGGGCATCATCTGCCTTCAAGGGGGGGGGCAGTTATTTATTATCACCCACCCTTAATTCTTCAGTGATGTGAAGCTGAAGTTAGATATTCACCAGCTTCTCGTGCAAATTTTTTCCCGTTCCACCTTAAATGGTGCAGCAGTTACATTCTGGTGCTTCAAGCATCAGAACTGCTGGACTATTTAAGGTGAAGAAGAAATTTAGCTAGCTAGCTACTGAGACATTAGCATACTATTAGCAGTTTTTATGCTTGATATGAAGAAAAGCACCATAATACAATGAAACAACAGTAAACTAAGATAATGCAATGGTTATCGTCATTTTTAATGGTGAAAATCCTCACATTTGTGGGTTTCTTTGGTCGTTTGTGCAGCCATCTTGCCAGTTTTTCTTCTTCCTCATAACACATGGCCATCCAAACTGAGAAAAACCTCTGTTTGAGGGGTCATGTAGCCCTAACACTTCTCCCTACCCCTCTATCTCAACAAAAATCAGGACATCCTACCCCTAGATGTGAACGTGCAAAATGGAGGGCTAAGGGTTTAGGGGTAGGGGCAAGGAGTGGAATGGGAGCAATATGTAAGTACAGCTTATGTCAGAACTTGGAATAATCATATATGGCATTCTTAACCAGTCCTCTACCATAAAAGTTCCATTACTGGGAATGATGCTTTATAACGGTCTTATAAGCAGAACAAATATTTGCTACATAAGTAAATGCCCTTATGTCAATACAGTTTCACTTACTTCTTTCGCATACTGACATGATTTGTTCATAAATTCTCAACTATTTTTTTTTAAATATCTTATTCTTTCTTTATATATTTGTAAAGAAGTCCCTATATAGGTAGGCAAATACAGTGTTACCAGAAAATCCAATAGTGTTATGAAACACTGGTCAGTTCAGTGTGCTGTATGGTCTGCTATTCAGCCTAACAATAGAAGACCACACACTTATAAAGATCTTAAAGGGTTCTTTAGTATAGGCAGTGGTTATGCTTAGAACCATAGGTACAATAAAGAATCATTTCATGCTTAAATGGTTCTTTGCATTGTGTTTTATATGGTTCTAAAAGCCTCAAAAAGGGTTCTTCTATTGTTACGATGTCAAGCTTGCATACAATAGAAGAACCCTTTTTGGTGCTATATAGAACAATGTATAACACATTTTCCATCAATCTGAAGAACCATTTCACCATGCAAAGAGCCATTTAACCATGCAAGTGGTTATATATAGAACTCATAGTTCTAAATAGAACTATTACCTTTACTGAAGAACCGTCTTGTATAAGACCGTACATTAGAATGTGCTTTGCAACCCTACAAAATGGTTGAGCTGTAATCCTTCATGGCTCTTTCTCTGCCATGCACACTTTTCCAGTCCACAAGCATATTGAGGAAACAATGTAGCTGATGTAAAAGTTAGCAACATCTGAGAATCTCACACTGAGTAACTCCAATAAAAGCTATTTTAGCAGAGAATCTGACTGTCATTGTTGTCATTGGAATTCCCATGTTAGCATTCTCCACAGCGGTGGCTCTCAACTTTTAGGAGGTCTTACATCTCAAACGCACCACATTTCTCATCACAGGATATACCTTACCTGACCACACTGAACTGGCTCTGCAGTCCACTTTGGTTGTAGACACCGTATTGCTGCTGCTGCATCTAGTAGAGAGGTCTTAAATCCAGTTTCTAGTAGATGCAAGTAAGTTTAGCATCACATGCTCAAACTTATGCAGTGGAAAAAATGGAAATATACTGAAAAATCGTTCAAAAGTTTGAACACCCCCTGGTCAAATGACACGTTCTGTTCTTTTTCTAAATTTTTATACACTTAAATATGACATTTTTTCTTGCTTGGGGCACAATTTATATTTATTTGTGGAGTTTTCATTTCACTTAGAAAATCAAGAAAACACAATTTGCATGTAATTCTGTGTAATATACCCTCACTGGCATCTCCATTTTATCAAGTTGCAGTCTGTGCAGAAAGATGGTGCAGCTGTTTGAACAGTCCCAAAAACCAGCATAGCATGGCTTGCCACCAGCAAAACCAGCATATGGTGTGTTTTGGATGCTGGTATGCTGGTCAACAGTAATGGAAGTGGATATGCTGATCAACACCAAAAACAGCATGTGTTGTGTTTTGATGCTGGTGTTCTGGTCAACCAGCATGACCATGCTGGGGTAACAGGTTAAACCAGCACAGAACAGCAAAACCAGCCTGTGTTGTGTTTTAATGCTGGTGTTGGTGGTCAACCAGCATGATCATGCTGGGGTGACCAGCTAAACCCCATGTGTCAAACACAAGGCCTGTGGGCCAAGTCAGGCCTATGACACACTCCAAATGTGCTGCATTCAGAGCAGCGCTGAAGCCGCACCGGCTCTCTGTGCTTGTCTCAAGGTCAGTCTGATCACTTTGTCTGTTTAATGACGTAAAACTAACCACATAGATAAAAACAGTAACTGGTTAAATCAGTAACTTAGTTACTAAAGTTGGTCTCAGCCGAACAGCATCAGCCTGTGTGGAGAACCGCTGTCAGACCAGCTCATACAACCAAGAGTGTAATGAAAATGAAGTGATTCACAAACGGAGGAAAACGGGAGTTTTTGTTTTTATTTATTCATTTATAGATTGAGAAGGTGCTTTAAAAAAGTATTACATTTACTCCTCAATATCACAACAGGAGCAAAAAAAAGAGAAAGGAAGGAAAACAGAGAAACATTAATAAACAGCACTCACAATCTTTTCAAGAAGAATAGAAAAGTCTTGGTGGCCTTTTTGTTGTGGAGAATTTTGTGTCGGGAATCTCACAGCAGTTTTAAATCTGTGATGAACAGCCTAAAGTTAGGTTTAGTGGAGATAATTCTGGATTTGAGCAGATGGAGTTTTCCCAGTGAGCCGGGTTATAAGATTTCTGGGATCATCAATGAAAGCCTTGTTATTATTAACCAAAGAACATAACACTGTTTCATTGATGCAGAGCTGAGTTAGAGTTATAACTGGAGATCTAAACACATTCACTCTTCACACAGACCTGTAGATTCTTTTTCTTTTTAGTGTTTTCTTATTTTCTCAGTTTACTCAAGGCAAGCGAAGCGTTCTGAAAAGGCTGGAAAGTGTTGAGCAACAACACCCTTTATAATGTGTTTTCTCCCCCTCTGAGTTCTCTGAATTCTCTCTCTGCTGAGGGTCAGGATGGACAAGTCAAGACGAGAAAACTGAATCCCAATCATTATGAAGCCCAGTGCGGTCCATCTCTACCTCAACACCCTCTACGGGTCACCCTTCAGGCTGTACTTGGTGACCCAAATCCACAAGGCGAGAACCAAGGTGAGCAAACCACATCACCTGAGAGAGAACCTGAGATTTACTTTATGTTAATGAGTGATGTATTCTTTCTTTTTTCAAGAGCGTACACTTTCTACAGTGTCAGACATTTAAAGAGAAATTCCAGATTTTTCCAAACATATACATAACATTCGTTTTTTGAACGTTCACAAATTCCCTTAATTTTCGCTCCAAGGTATTAAAAGTTGTTGGAAAATGCCTCGACATGATGTGTATTGTCCAAAATAATTCAAATTTCCTCATAAAATTTATGTTCGTTATAGCGAACAATTTACCAAAATACATAAGACTATATAGTCTTACCTTCATGTGCTTTTTTTGAACGTTCATAAATTCCCTTAATTTTCAAAGCAATGCTTTAAAATTATTTGGAAAATGCCTCCAAATGATGTATTTTGTCCAAAATACTTCAAATTCCTTCATAAAACGTATGTTTGATATAGTGCCAAATTTACCAAAATACATAAGGCTATAGTCTTACCTTTGTGTGCATTTTTGACTGTTCATAAATTCCCTTAATTTCCACTCCAAGACATCATAATTAGTTGGAAAATGCTTCCAAATGACATGTTTCATCAAAAATGTTTCAAATTCCTTCAGAAAATGTGCGTTTGATTTAGCGCAAATTTACCAAATTATGTAAGGCTATAGTCTTACCTTTGTGTGTGTTTTTCGACTGTTCATAAATTCCCTTAATTTTCACTACAAGGCATTAAAATTATTCGGAAAATGCCTAGAAATGATGTATTTTATCCAAAATAATTCAAATTTCCTCATTAAATGTACGTTCGACATAGTGCCAAATTTACCAAAATACGTAAGGCTATAGTCTTACCTTTGTGTGCGTTTTTTGAATGTTCATAAATTCCTTTTATTTTCACTCCAAGGCATTAAAATAAGTTGGAAAATGCCTCCAACTGACGTATTTTGTCCAAAATACTTCAAATTCCTTCATAAAACATACGTTTGATATGGTACCCAATTTACCAAAATACGTAAGGCTAACAAAGTATACAGAGAAACAGATGGACTACAGTCTGTAATTGTAGAACTACAAAGTGCATCTATATAGTAAGTGGAGCTGATAAAATGGAAAAATTTCCACTGTATCATAATCAACATTACATATAAAAACTCAGATGTGTCTAGGTTCATTGGTGGTTTTGCATAGTAAATAAAATGGCTATGTTTGTGTTGTAGACATTGGATCCTTTGATTTCTATCATCACCAGTGTATAAATGTCAGGTGGTTACACATCAAATCACTCTATGACTAAATTAAGATGAGTCTTCTGAAAAATTGGTGGAATTCCCCTGTAATACTCCCAAAGACTGCTTTTTGTAATTGACCATCATATTTCCCTTCAACTGTCACTCAGGATATGGCTGAGGCAGGGATGAAGTACTTTCTAAAGGTATCTGTGGAAAGCTGGTGTGATGAAGTAAGTTCACAGCTTTTACTTCTGTTCAGTGGCTTAATGCAGTTTAAGTAGGTGAAACAAGGTTGATAGGTTGATGGGAGGTTGATAGTTTCTCTGAGATGAGCTAACAACAATGTGGGGAAACACACATGCATTCAAACATACAGACACGTTGCTCTTAGACAACTCAACCAGTTTTTCATCTTTTTCCTTTAATTTGTTTTAATTTAGTTTTATTGCTAGCTAGCTGGAAGGGTGAAGAGTAGTACGTGTCATGATTTATGTACGTGTTTGAGAGTAGCCTAAGCCTAGTGAGGAGCAAAATATCAAAATAACACAATTTACAGAATTTGCAAAGCGCTAATTGTTAGGTTACAACCTTTCGTTACATGATAGTTACCCCTGCAGCATCAACCAGCACAGCTGGTTACCAGCAAAACCAGCACATGTTGTGTTTTGGATGTTGGTATGCTGGTCAACCAGCATGACCATGATGGGTGATCCATTAAAGCAGCACTAGACCAGCATAAACCAGTTTAGACCTGCATGGACTGCATGCTGGTCTGTGCAGTTTTTTCAGCACAAACATCAGCCTCGTAACTTCAGCGCTAAACTACAGAAGCAAACATCAGACACTATACATGCCTCGACTGATTAACTATATTTAAGGCAAGCACAACATTAAATTTGATTGTATGTTTTTTTTTTAAACTACTCAAGCTCAGCTAAAGTATCCTGTATTCCAGAGCTCAGAATGGCGTGGCTCGTCTACTCCAGGGGTGAGACGCAGGGTTCCTGGGGCAGGTTATCAAAGTTCAACATCTCAGCTAAGGAGCAGGAGTTCTAACAGCGCTACAGTACAGTAGACAGTGCTGTGTCTGCAAAGGACATACCAGGTAAGACCTCCACAACATTGATTTAACACCTGATGATTAAGGCTGTGTCTTTATTTGTGCCCAAAAATGATCTTAGACACCTTTTTATACCACAAATACTATTACAACTGCAACAGACTCTCTTTCTCTCTAGATAGTTATGGTAATGTAGACCCAGAGATGAAACCTTTCTGGCACTTGGCGCGGGTGGCAGCTAGCTTCATCATGCTGAACGAGTCCAATGAGAAAACGCTGTATAACATGGCTCAAGTGGCCAAGATCACACAGCTGGTAGGCAGATTGTGTGAAGATGATCATGTCTGGTAGTACTAATGTAGTTTACTTCATGTAGTGTTTTATCAGACAACATTTAAGACCAATCCCAGGCTGATTAAAGAGATCATCAAATAGGATTTCCCTTATCTTGTTTTGTCACAGCTACCTCCACAACTATTCTCTATTTTAAACATTTCAGGAGACTCAAGATGACCAGCTGAGGTTTGAGTATGAGGTTCTCCTTCACGACATGGTTTCTCAGGTAACAATAAATATCTAATATCTAACTCAAAGAAAATGATTAACTGATCTTATTTTAGAACAGGGTGTCTGTAGGCATTAATTTGTCTGAAATGACAATTCGCTAATTATAGGGTTAGTAAGTAGTAGTTTACTTAGAATCTAGAAAACAGTGTTGTTGTTTTTTTTTAAAGAATAATGCAAGTTTGCTATGGTAAAGCAGGGGTGTGCGTTAAACTCATGTTAGCTGTGTTGCAATAGCAGTACCTGCATTGTCTGCGCTTAAAAAGGTCTTAAAAGGAGATTCAACTTGAGGATGCTGGCAGATGCCCTATACTACAGATGCAGTTTTATCATTGTACCTACACAAAAAGCATGTTTCAAACCTTTGAGCTGCACTAAAATCTAATTTCCTTTTTTTTTTATTATATTCACCAAAATATGAAGAGCAGAAGCTGAATGTAGGTTTAGATTCATACAAACTGATCTCATTAACTGTTCGCGTGGCACTGTATTCTTTGCAGGAAATTATTCGCGGGAAGCTGCTGGTCTCCTGGTCTCCAGCAGTGGGCGTGAAAGTGTTAGAGACTTAACTGCTGCCACGATACTACTGAAAACCTCCCAACTCAGTGATGCCAGCTTGTTCAGTCCCAAGATCAAATCCACTAACCTCACCAAACTGTATCTTTGAACAAATGGCATGATGCCTCCTGTAAAAAAGTTTTTGATGTGTTGGGGGGTGTTGGGTTGCCTCCATTGTTAAAAGAGCGTCGCCAAAGTGGTCTGTAGAGTGACCTAAACAAGAACTCCAGTTTATGAGGTGCCTGGCCACTTCCTACTTTTCCCGTTGTGTCAAAACTGGAAAACAGCAGAGGGCGCCCGTGAGCGAGTCCTCAATTAATACATGCATAAGATGAATGCATTCATTTCCTGAAGACAGAACAGCATGAAATATTTTAACACTGCAGTTATTTCTGCTTTTGAACTCGAGTTGTAGTTTAAAACAGTCTAGGGCTGCTACCAAATGCTATTTTATGCATATGCTATGTATGTTATGCATTTTAAAGAACTTGTGAACTTTTTTTTTCCCCAATGAGGACTGCGGCTAACCAGCTGACCCAAAATATTTGTTTTGCTTGTTTATCTAATTTAAGGAACACAGAAACACAAGATTGTTGACATTTTAATTATGAACCAGACACATATGCTGTACATAGTACAAAACCATCTGTACACGCTCAAAGCCGTCCTTTGAGCTTTCCCTGAACTCTCCAACAGCGCAGCAAGAGCTTAAAAATATACATAAATTACTCAAATGACCATTTTGAAAGAGATTTGTGTGTTTGTTGTTGCTCAGTTCTTCCATTTGCCCTTCTTCGCAGGCAGTTGACCTGTTGCCTCCAGGTATTTATTAACAAGCTCCTCCTGTACAGACGGCAGGCAGGGCTGATACCTGCTGTACTCCATTGTGTACTCTCCTTTTCCCTACAGCACAAACACACACACACACATATATATATATATCAATGCACATACAACATTCAGTTACACTGCACAGCTCTGTCAAGAAAAATAATGTGTTCCATCTTTCTTTAGCCAAAATGTGTAATTTTCTGATCTCCTGCTAATCAAAATAGCTATAAAAAGATGGTTCTTCAAGGGTTTCTTAGTAAAGGCAATGGGTCTATTTAGAACCATAAGTTCTATATACAGCTATTTGCATGCTTAAATAGTTCTTTGCATGGTAAAACTGTTCTTCAGTTTGTTGGGGGATGTGTTGTATGTGGTTCTATACAGCATCAAAAAGGGTTCTGCTAATGTATATAAGCAGAACCCTTAATAACCACTGTTACTGGTTCTGTACAGAATCCATGGTTCTAAACAGACCCATTCCCTTTAATAAAGAACCCTTGAAGAGCTATATTTTTGTAAGAGTGGTATATGTTTGCATTTAGTCATTTAGCAGACGTTCTTATTCAATGCAAGTTACACAATCTACAGTCGTCTGTAAAGGTTTGTGCACCCCTGGTCAAGTTACATGTTTTGCTGATGTTCTAGATGAAAATGTTAACTGTCCCCTGTAGAGGATGCATGACAATTTTTTTGACACTATTATTTTTCTGCAGATTTTAGTGGACAATTTCTATTTATTTGAGTTTAACACACTGAGAAAAAATCTAAAATGTGCCATAACTTTTGCACAGGCCACATTTTGTTTTATGTTTCCCCCCAATATGTAAAATTAATCAAATAACCAGCAATTGTACATTAAAACGTGCAGAAGCGTGTTCTATGTAGAGGGTATGTACTTATTTTCCCTATGAAATAAAATGAAATATGTAATTATGTGCAAGTGTTTTAAAGAGACCTTATTCCCTGGGAGGGAAATGGCTGATGTTTTGAGGTGACCACACACAGGGTCCGATATCATCACTTAATACAGAATTTGGCTTATATCTGCACGCGTCCTGCTCCCCTACACAGTGTAGATGTGTTCAGTATGGTTGCCTCACCTCAGTGCAGGAGCGCAGCTCTGTGGAATATCCAAACATGTCGTTGAGAGGAATCTGGAAGACAGACAGACAGACAAACAGTGAGCACTGATTTATTATTTTATATATATATATATATATATATATATATATATATATATATATATATATATATATATATATATATATAGAGAGAGAGAGAGAGAGAGAGAGAGAGAGAGAGAGTTTTTGCTCACTTCAGCTTGATTACATTAGCCATCAACTTACATCAGCATACAGTGTGAAGTATCCCTCTGCTCCATCCTGCCCTGTAATGACACCATGGCGACGGTTGACTCCAGCAATGACTGCCCCCTGGAATTCATTGGGAGCGACGATTTCCACGGACATGATCGGCTCCAGAATGACCGCATTGGCGTTCTCCATGGCTGTTTAGAGAGAAAACAGGAATGCATGAGTGTTCTGTGAAAATGTAAGATCATTAGAGCAAATCCTTTGCATTCTGGGAGATAATACTAATGTATTTATTATACAGTGAGAGTCACTGGACGGTTGCTGTTTTGGCTCTGTACAGTGCCGTGAATATGCAGGTCTTCTCTTTTTGCGTATTTTGCACTTTCATCGTTTTAAACAAAGAATGGTCTGGTGATCTAGAATAAACAAAACTAAGACCAAGTTGTCTGATATGTATACACAGTTTTGCATAGGTTGTTGAATTTATATACTCAGCAGTATACAAACTCAAATATGGCATTTTTTTGTCATTTTAGTGCACAATTTCTATGTATTTGCAAAGTTTAACATCTTGAAATATAGAAAACAAAACAATGTGTGCCATAACTTTTACACAGGCCTTGCTTGATGTCTTGTCAATGTTCAGTTCAGCAAATAAAGAGTAATTGTGAATGAATTGAGCAACAGAACACAAGAGTGAGTGTTCTATTGCTTTTATACAACAGTTAAATAAATAAAGTAATAAAATAATAAATTGGGTCGTGAACGCGGCGTTTAATATGTTTTAATGTTGGCAGTTCCTTCAGCCAAATTATAGTTCCTTAACAAGCAGCTTGTTGCTACGTCAGAGTAACGAACTCCGCTCACTCGCTACACAGCCGGCAGTTCGTTCTCCAGCTCCTTACACTAAATTCTGAAACTGTCATCACCACTGCGCAGCTTTTCAGTCGGCTGCAATAATGTCAGTATAGCTCCGTAATGTCAGTTTTTGCCAGATCAGTATTAATGTTGTTTTGTTCCAGCCAGTCTGTAAAGCATCTTACAGCCCATTTAGTTTGCCGATTGGTATTGGGTTCATTTCTGGCTGATTTCAGGTTGTTTAGCTGTTCTTCCTTCACAGCTGCCGACTGAAAAGCTGCTCAGTGATGATGACAGTTTGGGAATTTAGTGTAGTCTCATCTTCAGAGTCTGACCAAATCGCCTGTCGGTCAAATGTGATCTTAAAAGTATCCATTTTCTGTTTGTGGCAAAATAAGAAGTAAAAACGTTCAAAAGGCTTGAGTGTCTCCTACAGCTGTCAAAGTCGTTGCTTAGCAACGGAGTCTCAGTTTCACCATAAGAACGCTTAGAGCGCTTCTCAACCAAACAGCTTGCGTGGCTGGAACTAACTGTTGTATAAAATGTGATTAAGTTCTCTGTAGAGGGTGTGTTAACTTCTTTACACCTGGACAATCAACATAGCATGGAATCTGATCAGGGTGCCCACGCTTTGCATCCACCTGTACTGATGTGCAGTGTCACCAGAGCTACATACTAACCTTGTTTCATAGCTCCCTCTCCGGCTCGGATGAAGGAGATCTCGTTGGAGTCCACCATGTGATGCGCACCGTCCTCCAACACGAAACGTACGCCAGATATCTTATGACCTGTTAGGGGTCCCTTCTCACAGGCATCCCTGAAACCCTGCAGAGGGAACAGGAACAGAGGAAGGGGATACAGTGAGGGGACAGAGTGAGCGTGAGAACCAGAAGGAAAGCTTAAGGACATGAACAAATTTGTATCTTTACTTTCCCTCAGCATCTTCAAAGGGGACAATGAAGGCACTTCATACTTCTAATCAGAGCTCTGTCAAATCCCAGCTCACATTTCCATTCAAACACTGAGGAGACCCCCAATCAGCAAGACAAGTGGCATCAAAGGCATTGATCGTCAGCCATGATCAGATCCTACCAGAAGCTCAGTGTATTTGCCATAATCTGGCCCTTGCAGTCTACAGAGGCTCAGTCACTGTAGTTTAAGATGAGGTGTAGAAGCCTCAGATTCACCCACAGAGCGGAGCTGTCAGAGGATTCCAACTTGCCTTAAATCAGGGGTGTCAAACTCAACCACTAAAAAGGCCATATTAAAAAATCTCAACAAATCCATGGGCAAGAGAACGCCTATGTTTTTATTTCATTTTGCTGCAACCTGAACAGGCCACTGTTTATTGAAAATATACCCCTCCAACTGTCAACCACAAAAAATAGGCACTTTTGGTGAACCTTGAAATATTACTTGAATATTTAATAGTTAATTCTTGTGATCAGTTTCTGAGCTGCTGAGCTGAGTGTTTATGTGGCTTGAACTGCAGCTGGAACACAGCTAGTGTGTTCAGAGATATGACTGGTGTGGTAGACTGAAGTGTAACCGCTGCCCCAAAGATTGTTGCTGGTAAGGGGGGTGGGAGCGCACATTACACTGAAGTGCATGCTGGGGATTGTAGTGCAGTACATTGTGAAATGGGCTAATATTGACAGAAAATCAAAAACAATTTCGCGGGCCGGATACCTTGCGTTTGACATATGGGCCTGAAATGTATCAGACTTCTTGTACTCATTCTGTTCGTACCACTTTCATATAAACCTACAACATACATATGTTCAGATACAGCTAAACTGTAGGTCCAAAGGTTTGGAGACACCTGCATATTCAGCTTCCCTTGTGAAATGAAGGGTATTAATAGTGAGTTTGTCCCCCTTTGCTGTAGTAACAGCCTCTACTCTTCTGGGAAGGCTTTACACAAGATGTTTTAACATTGCTGTGAGGATTTGATTGAGCATTAGTGAGGTCAGGTACCGATATTGGATGGTCAGTTCTGGATCACTCCAACTCATCCCAAAGTTTTGGATGGAGCTCCATCACTTCAGAGAATTTGCTGCTTAGAAGGGGTGTCAATACTTTTGCGTATATTGTTTTATATGCCGCATTTTCAGGTATGGTCCACTTGAGGAGACCCAGGTTGGGAAGAAGTATGACAACTAAAGGACATGGGTAATCCTGCAAACTCCATTATGGACATGAGGATCTGCACAGAACTACAGGGCTTGAAGGAAAGAAGAAAATATATGTAAAAACAACAAAAAAAACAAAACAAAATAAAAAGAACCCCTTAAAAAGCAATGGTTCAACAAAAATCCTTTTCTTTTTACACTACCTACCCTAAATGTAGTCGATCAGGCAGGGCATGCTTGGCATCTGAAGTTTGCTTTCTAAGTTTTGGAGTGAAGCTCTGAGGCTGACATAACAGAAGTCTGAGTCATTCGAAAGGGACATCGGGGAGCGTTTTGCTAGTCACACTCACTTTATGGGACTTGGCGTTCTGCAAAGCTCTCTCTTAAGCAATCTCGAGAGGATATTTTTTTTTTGGACTATGCACTTAACTAGATTAAAATGTTAGCTCTATCTTTACACTAAATAAAAAGGCCAAAGCTTTTGCATCTTCGTGTTGTGCAGGGAATTTGCAGAAACTACGACTTACCTTCTCGACAGCTGGTACAAACTGCTTGGGTACGTTTGTGCCGATGGTCTGGTCTTCAAATTCAACTTTGGTGTAATTTTCTGGATCCAGGGGTTCCAGGACTCCCACCACTTTACCATACTGCCCTGACCCCCCAGACTGCTTCTTGTGGGTGAAGTCAAATCTAGAAATTGCAGAGCAGAATATCATTCATTTCTTACCTCTATGCTACGTCATAGTCCAGTCTATTAGGTGAACGCAGTTTCTTTAACATAGGTTGGTCTCTTTAAGGAAAGGCAGGACAGTTACTGGAAATAACTCAACTAGCAGGATCTCAGCTCTGCCTGATTATCATCAAATGAAGACTGCTAATGCATTCAGTGTGTATAAACTTAAGTGGATCCTTTTAGCTTTTGTCTGAGTGTTCTTGAGTTCAGCATGCTCACTCTCCAGTGAGGCTTTGTTAAAGTTTGCTGTATTTAGACTACTGACAAAGACATTACTGCAATTCTTAGAACCAAAAGAAATGATTCTAAGTGACCGCCATTTAGATTGTAAACAGTATCCAATAAAACTCGTCCATAAATTTGTGGTTCAACATCAGCTAGCAAAACTGCATTGTAATTTTAAGCACTGCAGGACACAAGAAAAATGGCAAAGTTTTATAAGATAACAAACAAGGCATTTGAGTTTAAACTCTGTAGTCTCTGCTGCTAGAACAGAAATAGCGCAGTACTTACGGCACAGGGCTGGTCACCGTCTCCCTGAAGGCCACTTTAGGCTTCCCCATCACACACGGACAGTTATACTCCCTTTCCATCCTCTACAAACACACACAACTCAGTACATTAACACCCACAACTTGGCTTCAGTACAGAGTGAAGAACATGACATGGTTCATTAATGAATGTGATGCAATACCTGTGAGTAGATCTCCAGATGCAGCTCCCCCATCCCTGAGATAATGGTCTCCTTGCTCTCTGTGTCAAAGTGGACCCTGAAAGTGGGGTCTTCTCTGGTGAAGCGGCTGATGCCTTTGGAGAACTTATCGGTGTCATTCTGAAGTGACCAGAGGATAATTGGTCACATGCGGCACTATTGTTTTTACTCGTGTGCATCGGTTGTATGTACCTGAGTGCAGTGCCTACCTTGTTGGCTGGTTTAATAGCCATGGAGATGACTGGGTCAGGGACATGGATGGACTCCTGTTAAACACAAATGTGATAATAATAAAAATAATAACAACAACAATAATAATAATAATAATAATAATAATTTCTCCCCCCACTCTCTCTTTCCCCTCCTTCCTTTCATTGTTCTTTCCATCTATTGTCTCTCTCCCTCCCACTTCCTTTTTCCCTTTTTGTGTCTTTCTCTAGCTGTCTCTTTCTCCCCACCCTTTCTTTCTTTCTCTCTCTCTTTTCTCTTTCCATCATCTCTCTCCTTTCTCTTACTTTGTCTTTCTCTCTATCTTTTCTTTCTCACCTAATTTTCTCTGCAATGTTGCTCCAAAATTTATGAGTTCTATAAGAAAATGATCTTCCACCAACTGAGCTGTAAGAGATCCTATAGGAGTCTGCAGTAAGCCTCAGCTGAGTGAAGTGGTCTGGAGGGGCTGTAACGCTTCAAAAGATATGTAAGACATTAGGACTTCAGCCATTAAGAGCTCTAAATGGAATAAGTAAGACCTTGTAGCTGATGCAAAACTTAGCTGGAAGCCAGTGCAATACGCTCACACTTTCTTTTCCTGGTGAGAACACAGGCTGCTGCCTTCTGAGCTGGAGTCCATTCAGAGAGACAGCAGGGCAGCCTGCTCTTTGTGAGGCCTATTATAAAAGGAGGATCTCTGACCAGCAGAATGAACCTGCCTAGACTGAATTAACACAGCTGTATGCAAGTGCGTTTACCATGGAGAGGTTGGCGCTTGTGCGAGCAGTGAAGGTGTCTCCACTGGCACAGTCGATTCCAAACAGGGCGCAGATATCGCCAGCATACACCTCCTCCACATCCTGAGCGTACAAGGGAAACACAGACACTCTCAGAATGCACAAAGATTTAAGCAGAGCAAATAGAACAAGCCAGAATCGATGATGCCTTCAACTTAACTGGCTAATATGTATTTATTTTCAACATTTTCCTTTTAATAACATAGCATGTGTTTACATGCACTCAACATTCCAATCATAGTCAGATTTCTGCAGTTATCTGATTATTCAAAGAGTCATTTTAAACAGTATACAGATTTCTTAAACCGGAATAAGGTCTAGAAATCTGATTAAGAAATCTGATAAAGAGGCTGGATTTTAGCTCAGTAATCAGATTTCTCAGTACGTGTAAACTCTTACTCTGACTTCTTTCGGATTTCTCAGTCTGAGCATGTGCGAAAACAGACCACAGTACCGGAAATAAGTGAGCAGCGTCACAGCGAGATGCAGTAAAACACTTTTGGAGCGACGCTGAAACCGACTACATGCTTGACGAAATGAAGGATTTAAATATTCTTCATCTTCTACATGATGTATGTTCATATGTTCAGGTAAAGTGGCACAATGTTAAGAAAAAAAAGCCGCGGCATGAAGTTTGAGCTTTACGTTATGTTTCCCGTTTTCTACTTACTCAAAATGCATGTAAACGCATCGATCAGATTACTGTCAAAATCTGATTTTCTGCAGTTATTGGATTATCAAGTGCATTTCAACACACTCAAGAACTGTTCTATATTAAGGCCTTTGCTGATGAAGCGTTGTTGATTAGGCAACAGTTTTTGTACAGGGTGATTCAAATAGATTCCTCCGATTTCAAAGCGCCATATTTTTACAACCGTGAGGCGCCTAGGAACCATTCACAATCCAACTGAAAGAGGGGGTCATAGAGTTTCTCACTGTCAGTGGAAGATGGCTCCCTTCAGTCTGAGAGGAGATGAGACCCCTGAGCAGAAAGCGTTCTGCGTTCTCCACTTCAATAAGAGTGAATCTGTCAGAACTGTGCAACGTGATTTTTGTGGGCAGTGAACCTCCAACAGCTCAGAGCGTTCGTCGTTGGTTCCACAACACTGGATGATCTCCGAAATCGCACTGAAAGAGCCGTGAGTACAGAAACACCCGACATGTTCAATCAAGTATGGGATGAATTTGACTATGGCATTGATGTTGTCCGTACAGCTGGAGGAGGTTCATACTGAGCACTTGTAAAATTACAATAACAAAATTAATAAACTTTATGCTCATTTAAACCATTTACAGTTCACTGCATTGTTCTGTAATGACTTACAGGTAAAATCAAGCATTTTGAAATCAAATGAATCTTTTTGAATCACCCTGTAGTCTGAAAACGAAAAAAGAAAAAAAAAAATAAACAGAGAAACAAATACCAGCACAGTGAACACAAAATTTTTTTTTTAATATGAAAGATTCATACTGGGCGATTTGAACACTAAAACAGCCATTCCCAACACATACATACACATATACACATGCACACCCTCTCACCTCCATCTGGTCTGCGTGGAGGCGCACCAGCCTCTGGACACGCACTCTCTTGCCCGTGCGGGTGTTGTAAATGTACTCGCCTTTCTTCAGACAGCCCTGGTACACGCGCACGTAGGTCAGCTGACCAAAGCGTCCAGCCTTGGATACAGACAGCAGTATGAGAAAATTCAAACAACTGTACAGATACTCAATCATCTAAAAGCAGACATCAATGTAAGGCAGCTTCCAGCGCTAGAACAATAACAGACAATACAACAATACCAAAGTTCACGTTTTCCTGTTCAAGCCGTTATTTTGTCCGTACCTCTAGTTTGAAGGCCAAACCCACATACGGTTTAGTAGCATCTCTTGTAGAATCCATCAGAACCTTGCTGCTATCACTCGATTCCCTGAAAATACAAAAGAAAAGAGCATATAAGGTTTAAAATTATACTTCAATGGTCAGTTAAAGCAGAACATGATGTGTTTGCATGATGCGAAAGCTTTGGCCTTTTTATTTAGCGTAAAGATAGAGCATGCAGCCATACATGATCCTATGATCACAATGCCAAATGCCAAGCATGGGCTAGAGGGGTATAAAGCCCCCCAGCATTGGGTTGTGGGGCAGTGGAACTGTGCTCTCTGGATGATGGAGCTCCATCCAATACCTTTGGGGTGAGTATCTTTGACCACTGCTAGCCAATTCTCTCTTAAGAAGTATAAAGCTGTGACCAAAACTGTGCCTTATTCTCTATATAGTGCACTATTTTGGGGTTCCACCGTTTTGTAGTGGTATCCCAAAATGTAGTGCAGAAAATCCACACAATGCACTGCAATAAGTAGTGCACAACTGATGTACCCTAGCAGATCAAGGATACCCACAATGCACTGGTTTGAAGATTACAGACGCAAGTCAGCTCTTCTCACGTGTGCAGTCAGACTCAGAGGTTACAGTGGACTGACTGCAGGACATTCATAGTGTTTATGCGACCGAATCTGCCGTTGCGCAGTAAAGAGCAAACCTGTATGACGGTGTGTCCGAAATCATTTACTACAATCACAGATTCAGTTCTTTATAATTATGTTCTGTATAGTGATCAAGATTTTTGAATGTAGTGATTAGTGGACAATTTCGGGCACAGTGTATTCAGCATGGTGGTATGTTGAGACAGAGACTGAGGAGAAAGCAGGATATGATCCAGGACTCACTCGTCGTTGTGGATGGCATAGTTGTTGACCTCGCTGGGGTTGGGCAGGTAGTCCAGCACAGCGTCCAGCAGGGGCTGAACCCCTTTGTTCTTCAGAGCGCTGCCCACCAGCACCGGGGAGAAGGAGCGCTGGATGGTCGTCCTGCGTATAGCCGCCTGTGGGGGTCACACAGATCTGCATGTTTACATTTTCTACATGACTGAGCAGAGTCAGCTTTGCCTTCTGGACAGTTATTGCTGTTATTTTCAACTAGCATGTTACTAGTAGTAGAGAGACCGAACATGAGGATGGCGAACCTTTAGGTCGTCCACGGTGGGGACTCTCTCTTCCAGAAAGATCTCTCCCAACGTTTCATCGGCATTGGCCACACACTCCACCAGCTCCTGCCTGCGCTCGGCCGCTTCTGTTCGCATCTCAGCCGGGATCTCATCGAAACGGATATTCTGACTGAGAGAGGGAGGCAGCGATGAGGAAAAACAAACAGCAGAAGAGGGCAAGCTTAGGAATAAAGTAGCTGAACTCTAACAATCTTTATAGGCCTGTCATGATTTCTGAATTATACTTGGGTACACTTGAGTGTCTATTCCTACATAAATGATGAACTAACCTAACTTTGTGTAAACAGACCACAATATAGAAATATGTACACATATGCAGTTGTGACTGATGTGTCTTTTTTCTGAATTGATATAAAATGAAATAATGTTTGTAGTAAACTTGTTTTTGCTAGTTTATGAACAGAGACCTACAGATGCAGTTTCAGTAAAGGAAAACTCATTTGTGAATCTGAGTTTAAAGCAAGTTTTTATTAAACTTAAACTTGTAACTAAGTTGCAAATAAATCGTAAACTGAAACTTTGCTTGTTTGTAAAGTTATTTCAGAGCTGCTCGGTTCTACCTACTGGAAATTGTTTGCCTTCAGTGTTTTATGCTTATGATGATATTAATAGACATCAGTGTCAGACTAATTAATGATATTCTATTAAAAGACTGGTTTACCAAGCGTGACATTGGAGTATTTTCACCTAAAATAACTTTACAAAAATTGTAATAGGATGTCAAAGCCATAATTAATCTTTCAGTACTTTTACCTTCGATACTTAAGTACATTTGAAGGTGAATACTTTTGTACTTTTACTCAAGTGGAGGTCTTAAGGGAGGAACTTCTACTTTTACTGATGTAATATTTTACCTTGGGTATCTCTACTTTAACTCAAACACATGATTTGTGTACTTCATCCGCCACTGGTTAAAAGAGAGTTATATAAAATGAATGCTACTGCATTTGTTTGCCATGTATTTTTTATACATATATTTTTGAATTAAGTCTTGTTTATCCTTCTCCAGTAAAGCATTTGGATTCTGAAAGGCTGTGCACAGTTTGTAATTGTTCACGTATGTCGATTTCTAATAGTTTGCCTTCTTTAAAACTCTGATTACTTGATTATTTCTCGAATAAGTCAATTTCTTGATTACTAATATCAGTAACAGCCCTTATTCTTTCTAGAATTGTTAATATTACCACTTATGATTTATGTTACATGATTTCCACAGCACAACTCTACATTTTCAATCAATTTTCTAACAACTGAGCTTGCATTTCACTCTGCACAAGTCAGTAAGCTTAAAGTGCATGTTTCTATAGTGTCCTTACCCACAAGGACCCTCAAAGTAGATGCTCCGTTCCTCAATTAGGTCAATGATGCCGCACAGGTTGCCCTCGAGTCCGATAGGGATGTTGACGAATGCTGTGTTATGATTCAGTTTCGTCCTGAAAGAGATAATAAGAAGCGATTCATCATGGGGTCAGCTTAGTTTAGCCCATAGGCCATGCAAGACGGTCAATATTTCACACGGACACTATTCTAATCTACTAAGTTTAATACACAAAGGTTTACATTTCTGGCATTCTTTAGGACGATTCAATGAATAATGGAATCTCAAATTTCAACATGATTTCATTTAGATTTATATTTAAAAAATATGAACACTGAGCCAAACTGTTTTTCTGTGCACGTTTACACTGGAAAATAAATAAACACATTTATTTTACCCAAAAAAAAAAAGAGCACACATTAAATATTATTCTAATCGATTATAATCCCTTTTAACATTCCAAATTTGATGTGGAAGTTTACACCTTTTCATTCAACTTCCACCAAAAACGTTTCTAGAGACAGATTCACCCTCATCGCTCACTAAGGCCAGAAACTTACTTCACACAAGTACGCAAACACTTTGAGCTTTGCAAATACACCAATCAGGCATAACATTATGACCACCTCCTTGTTTCTATGCTCATTGTCCATTTTATCAGCTCCACTTACTATATAGGTGCACTTTGTAGTTCTACAATTACAGACTGTAGTCCATCTGTTTCTCTGCACACTTTGTTAGCCCCCTTTTACCCTGTTCTTCAGTGGTCAGGACCCCCATGGACCCTCACAGAGCAGGTACTATATGGGTGGTGGATCATTCTCAGCACCACAGTGACACTGACGTGGTGGTGGTGTGTTAGTGTGTGTTGTGCTGGTCTTTTGAATAAAATGTAAATTTTACACATCTGTTTGTGAATGTAAATGGAGTCTGATCTGTTCCTGGTGAGGTTCCCTTCTTTAACACGGAGACAGATCATCTATAGAGCTACCTGATAATTCAGATACATCAAACATAACTTATTTCGTTCTCTTACAAGTTGTACAAGACATATAAGTAATGCAAGAAGGTAATTGGTAGACCAGCAGGTCACTGAGTCTCCCACATAAACATAGTTGCTGGCAGGAACAAAACCTCAGCCCCATCGCCCGACTCAACTTGCCACTCAGATATCACACCTACATTACACAAGTGGTCAGTCATGGTAGAAGGGGAAGGAGGTGACTGTGAGGAGAGACACTTCCGCTCACCTCAGCTGCTGCAGCGCCCGGGAGGGGTTCGCTCCCATGCGGTCCAGCTTGTTGATGAAGGTGAGGTGAGGCACGCCGTAGCGCTTCATCTGCCTGTTGACGGTCAAGGTCTGACACTGCACCCCTCCGACGGCACACAGGACCAGCACGGCCCCGTCCAGAACTCGCAGAGACCTCTCCACCTCGATGGTGAAGTCCACGTGACCTGGGAGGTCAAGGAGAAGAAAGGATGTCAGGGAAGCGCAGAGGAACAGCCAGAGTGGCAGATCTGCGTCAACTCGTGCCACAACCTCCCTACCTGGTGTATCAATGATGTTGATATTGTGCTGTTTCCACATTGTGTAGGTCGCAGCTGACTGGATGGTGATTCCTCTCTGTCTCTCCAGCTCCATGGAGTCCATGACGGCCCCGACTCCGTCCTTGCCCCTTACCTAAAGAAAGGGAACAAATACAGAAAAAAGCATCCTTAAAGGGCCACAGTCATGGAAAACTGTATTTACCTCACTTTTATTTTAAAAATAAGCATTTAAAGTAGTTAGAAAACACTGTTTAAAATGCACTGTCCACCCCCCCTTACAGTCCTCCACACGGTCCATATATGGAAACAACGCTGCAACTTAGTCACTGTTTCTGTTAGATTTAACAAGAATGCTTTGATTTCAGGGGTAAAAAGATCATCACCAGTTACCAGCAATGGTGGAAAAAAACTGATTCAGTTTATGAAAGTAATTCCTTTAAACTGTCTGATTCAGTGAATTGAGTGTTCTCAGATAACCACCTCCTTGTTTCTACACTCACTGCCCATTTTATCAGCTCCACTGACCATATAGTTTCACTCTGTAGTTCTACAGTTACAGACTGTAGTCCATCTGTTTCTCTGCATACTTTGTTTCACCCTGTTCTTAAATAGTAAGGACACCCACAGAGCAGGCACTTTTTCGGTGGTGGATCATTCTCAGCACATTCTCAGATCATTCTCGTTGCTTAGCAACGGCATCTCAGCGGAGTGATACAGTGTTTGTAATGTTATGGTGAAATAACAGCACAGTTAGAGCGCTTCTCAACCAATCAGCTTGCGTGGCCGGAACTAACTGTTGTATACAGCGCAACGCTGCACCTCTCAGCTTCATCCTTTTGACAGATACAAAATTCTCTTTTTTGTTTTCATCCATTAGCATTCTCTCACTACAATTCCCAGCATGCAATGCACACATATATTACACAACCAAAATTATTCTATATGGCATCAATAAGGGTTCTTCTGTTGTTTCGATGTCAGGCTTATTACAACAGAAGAACCCTTTTTTAAAAAGGTTCTACAGAGAACACATTTTTCATCAATCTGAAGAACCGTTCCACCATGCACAGAAACATTTACTCATGGAGTATGTCTCTTTGGATGTTCATAGTTCTGTACAGAACCCTTGAAGAACGTTTTTAAGGGTGTCATTTCTGACGATAATGACATTTATTGTCACACAGAACCGAACTGGACGCTCTCTGGGCAGCAGGCTGTCCAGTGAGTCTACGGTCAGATTAAAAAGTATCAGTGACAGCAGTTTAGAGATACTGACTCACTTCATGCATCTCTGCTATTCTGCCGGTGTAGTAAAGCACCCGCTCGGTTAAGGTGGTCTTCCCGGAGTCGATGTGCGCGGAGATGCCGATGTTCCGGATCCTCTCGTTCGGGGTGATGCCGGAGGAACATGTCCGGCAGCTGCTGACCAGAACCTACAACGCAAACCGTGAGAGACCAACAAACTGAGGAGCAGAAAGTCGAGCTGAAACTGTCCTCTTGTCGGAATTCTTCCGTTCCACCTTAAATTCTGCAGTGTAACTGCTACACGATTTAAGGTGGAACGGCACAATCCGAAAAAGAGGCCAACTTCAGTTTGATCTCTGTATCACTGTGTCCATCTTTCTCTACCGAACCGGGTCTAAACAGCCAACAGACCCGCTTCAGACTTACATTTGTCGGTTTCGGGAGGTTGTTTCGGCTCAGGGCCAGCGCTGCTGTCAGTAACCGCATTTTGATGGCGTGTTGGGGCTGAAACTGCACGCTTCCCCCGGCTGACCGGCTCAAAGTCACGCCGGTGCTGTGCTGTCATACGCTCCCCGGCTCAGCCTGCACCCCAAGGACCATTTGGTACCCGTCGTGTCTGCCTGACTCAAACTAGTAACGTCCCGTGTGCGAATGTAGAGTCTTCAGAATCAGAACCAGAACCAGAATCGAGCTTTATTGGCCAGGTTTGCTTACACATACAAGGAATTTGGTTTTGGTTACAGGACCTCACAGTGGACAGTATGAGACAAACATTTACATGTAGTGAATAAAATAAAATAAAATAAAATACAAAAAATGAAATAAAAATAAAACAAAACATGCATTCCTTCCATCACTCACTCACACACACTTACAAGTACGTCTTAAAAGTAATATCAGATGTTACAATGTTTGCGCGGAGCCCCTGGTGACATGGTGATTATTTGTTAATAAGGTGTGGCCACAATTTAATATTTAATATATTGAGACCAGTTTATTATATTGGAGTCACAAATTACTACTCTGGGATCACAGTTTACAACACTGAAGTTACAAATTGATCATATTTCAGCTGAAAAAAGTTCACACAAACCATTAAAAGTGTATTCTGCCTCCTGGTGGTGTCCAGTAGTCAGTTATGGTACTCTGTGTTTTCCTGGTGGGTTGGTATCACAGTGTAAAGGACAGGTGCTCTGATTCCAGATGCATTTAATCGTCTCCTACTGGGATCCAATAGTGTCCTACAGAAAACCAGCGTTCTCTAAGAATAACCACTAAGCCAGGGGTGCACAACTCCAGTCCTGGAGGGCCAGTGTCCAGCACAGTTTGGTGATTTACCTGCTCGAACACACCTGATTATACGTATCTGTTAACTGCCAGGTTAAGTGGGTGTGTTTGAGCAGAGAAACCTCCAAACTCTGCTGGACACCGGCCCTCCTGGACCGGAGTTGTGCACCCCTGCACTAAAAGCCAGTTCCCATTTAGAAAGCAAACCTTATTGTTTTAATCCAAATTAGTTATGAGAAACTTAACTTGTGGCCTCAATTAAGTAATTCGTGGCCACATCTTATTAGAAAAATAATAGTCCATGTCACTTTAGGGGCTCCTTACCGTTTGAACTGATGTAAATGAAAGTAGGACGGATTGGACGAACAAGCTAAATTATTCAAAAATGAGCTTTTTCATATTTCTTCATTGGTGCTGAAACGTAAGCTAACTGCTACAGCTAACCACACACAACAAAACTCACGGCTTCACTATGTTAGATTTATTTATAAATACGTTGAAGTTCACTTAATGCACTGAGAATCAGGCACATACACAAGCGGTCGGTTGTCCTGCTCACTGCTGTTGATGGGCCGCTTTGTCCTTCGATTCATCCAATGAAAATGCAACGGGAAAACCAAAGGGATGCAGGATTTGGCGGGGGCCAATGATGGCACAACCTCCTTAGGTGAAAGAGTGAGCACTGCTTTACCGACTTGTTTTCTGTACAGCGCCACGTAGCGGAGAGGAGGAGTAGGTTTTGTGGCAGTGAATATTGCGACTCGTCTAATATTTTAAATATTGTAAAAACTATTATTAGACATATTAGACGAATTAGGCACCTCTGTGCTCCTCGCGCTGGTTAAAGAAACCATAGAGACCATTAAAAGTTTCTGTTGGTTCCTGATGGGTTAGTATCACAGTGTAAAGGACTCTAATGGTCTGATTCCAGATGCATCAGATGGTGTCCTAAGGAATCCTGTGGTCTCTAATGGTAACTAACCACTGAGCCGATTCCCATTAGAAAGCGAAACTATTAGGTTTTAATAGTAATGGTTCTAATGGTCTTTCAGCGGGACCGACAGGATTGGCTTGGAATGATGCAGTGTGAAAGATATTAATCTATTTATTATTTTTTCCCATTTCATTGTGTTCATCTATCTATTTTCAACGAGTGTATATCAGAGCTACAATCCCGGTGCCTCCCCTGCTCTGAATCAGCTGGAATGACCACTGTCCTGTCCACACATTCTATTAGTCTTCATCAGTCTGCAGCACAGAAACAGCGCGTGGACGTGTTCAGTCCAGCAGGTGGCGCAGCAACACCTTACAGTACATCAGCACTCAGTTTTATTTATTTATTTATTTATTTAAAAAGGCCAAACAATAAAAATGGCCTTAACAGACCTTAATACGACTGCTGTGTTACACAACACTGTTCAAAATCTCCAATTAATATATATATATATATACATATATAAAACAAACCCTAGTATTTCCTTTTTGCCATAATTTGAAAATGCCTGTTGTCCTTTACATTGTCAGTAAATTTCATGATGAATGAATGAATAGAAACAAATCAAAATGACTTGGAAAAAAGTCTGGCTCCATTGACTTAAATGAAAAGTAAAGTATGTTTTTTCCTTCTCCTGTAAAGTTACCATTTTGGAGATACAAGGTTTTGTTCTCAAAGCAGTGACAAATACATACATATATTATGTATATATGTGTTTCTATAAAACCTTACCATTATTTGTAAACTCCAGCTGCCCTTAACATTGTGTGAAAATTTCATGATAAATAGACAGAAAGAAATGATCCACAATTACTAACTTCCACTATTAGTTATGAATGTTCTGGGATTCTTTTTGTTCTGACAGCGATGATAGAGAAATATACCCAGATTGAAAACTCTTTGCTAATTCATCAGAATTTTTCTAAGTAAACTGATTCTGAGCCGTCGTTCTGTGTAAACTCAGAAACTCTGACTATTCAGGACATAAATGCTGCTACGCCCACAATCTCCTCATAGCACCCCCAGCACATGGTGGATCACATGCAGGGCAGGGCGGATTACCCGACAGCTGAGACTAACGAGGTCTAACAGATACGGCACATTCATTCACGTATCATGTAATCCGAACGTCATCCGTCTCAGAATAAGAGCACTTGTGGCTTTCAAGTCATCATGCATGTGGATGAGCACAGCTGATCAGCAGGCTGATTGACCACCTTTAATGGTGCTGACCAATGGATTTCAGAGATAGACTCATGACTCAGTTCACTTTTTATTGAGGACATTATGAAGTCCACGAATATGTTAATATAAGTTACATCATAGCTGAGAATGTCTGTTTTACACCTTGCTTTCCTTTTGTCACCCAGGTTCAACATTAAACCAACAAGCTGAAAATACAAACCAATAAGCTGAACACAATGACGACTGTATAAAAAGGGTCTTTCTGGCATTTCTTTACAAATGTATACAGCAGATAATGTTTTTGCTAAGGGGCAGCCGTTTTAGCCAATTACACATATATTACAATATTCCTAAATGCGTTCTGAAATATATAACATTTGTGTTTTTTATTATTTCATTAAAAAGCAAAAGAAAAAGAGAAAAAGGCAAAAAATAATATTCAAGCAATTGAGGGAAATCGAGAAATCAAACTTTTACTCCCTGGACAGAAGATGGAAGAAAGTGTTTTGTGCATGAAAACATGACTAAAAATCTATGTGCTTGTATTTGGTTAGCATAAATATCCTTTTTCCTCAAGCGACTGCACTGGCCTTTATACCATTTTCAGGTAACGCTGTATTCTTTCAACGCCGTCTTCCTCAAACATTTCAGTAAATACAGAAACACAGTGGAGGAGAAACCTCCATCAGTCGAGCAGACGCAGCTGCAGCCTAGCTTACGGCGCAGAAGCGAGTAGCATGGAAAGCATAAGCACTGGTCTGAAAGAGACGTGGGCGAAAGCACCAGGGAGCCGCTGCCTGACAAAGAGTTTTATTTTCATTTCATCAAGGTTTTACTTCTTCTTCATCCTGGAGCCCTGAATGTTGAGCTCAGAGACGTGAGTCTTCTTCTTGCTTTCTGCTGCATCGTCTTTTTCTCTGGAGGAGCAAAACAAAATCACATCAATAAAGCTGCAATATTAAAATGCCACATTTCACATTAAAGTTATGTAATTAAAGCAGCTCTATAGAGGTCTGTCTATCAGGGGGCGCTGTAGCCATTGAGACTTATGTTTTGTATGGCAGTATTTGCAGAGCCGTTTAAAGGGGACGTGGCCACTTCCTAAACATGCCTGCTAAACACTAGAGGGCGCCCACGAGCGAGTCCTCAGTGAATGAGGGTGAATGGAGTGAAATGGCTAAAATGTAAAATTAAACACGTTCCTACGCTTTAATGAAGGAACGTACTTTAATTTTGGAAAACAGAAGAATTTATTACACAAAAAAATCAAAGGAAACTGTCACTAATGCTGATTGGTTAGCATTACTGCTACTGAGTGCTGATTGGTTAGCATTAGTGCTACTGAGTGCTGATTGGTTAGCATTACTGCTACTGAAAGCTGATTGGTTGGTATTACAGCATTAATGCTACTGAGTGCTGATTTATTAGCATTAGTGCTACTGAGAGCTCACTGGTTAACATTACTGCTACTTAGTGCTCATTGGTCGGTATTACTGCTACTGAGTGCTGATTGGTCATTTACAAATTACAATTTTGCAGAAAGCTCCATTTGAAGCAATTTATTTTGGACTAGTTCAGAGCGCACTGGCAGTTTTCCTCCCTAGAAATTCTCTGATTTTAGGAAGTTTTCTAGCGAATAATTGTAGACGTCATGTATGAAGTTCGCAATTATACTGCAATTGCATTGTACTGAAATACAGTGGTGATTTCTTAATGTAACACAGCACTTATACTGAATAATTTTGACCAAAAGTATGTCTGTTTGTTGCATCATGTGAATGACTTGATTGATCTGCACACCTACAGAAAAGCTGGTCAGGAAGCTTCCAGCACACATTAAAATATTTAATGATATGCGCATTACTATACTGCCAAAGGCATAACATAGTTACTATACATTGGACAGCACTAATATCACCATTATGATGTATTGTGCAGCTCGATTATCACAATAATTTGCTGTGTAGCCCTTATATCACCATAATGATAAATTGTGTAGCCTTTATATCACATTAACACTATATTGTGCAGCCATAATAGTAAGACCTAAGGTTTATACCGAAGTCAAAGCAATGAGCTACAAGAGGCCTTGCATGAGAGAGATTTTACCATAGGTGAGGGGTGTTGTTAGGCAGGAAGTAAAGCAGACACTTAAAACATTTAAGACACATGAGAAACATATTCTTTCCTTTGTATGATGCAGTTCTACAATAAATACTAAAGCAGCTCTATGGAGGTTTTGTCCATCAGGGGGCGCTGTAGCCAATGAAACTTATGTTTTGTATGGCAGTATTTGCAGAGCCGTTTAAAGGGAGCATGGCCACTTGCCTGCTAAACACTTGCAGTTCCACAATAAATACTTTTAAAACCTAACGTTGAATATTAATAGAGAATGTGTGAGCCTTTTAGCTCGCACTTGCTAAGTACTTGTGAGTCCTTTACTTTAAATAAAACTGGGTTCTTAGGTAAGGTTTACTTGTTTTGTATGGTTTGTTTTGGAGTTTTACACACAGCAGTGCTGTGCCTTTTCCACCCTAATGCAGAAGCATCCCGCTGAGGCAGCTTTTTGAAGCATAGCTCACCTCTGTGTGTTTTCGGGGCCGGCGATGGCCGCTCTGTGCATGGCTCTGGGCTTGGGGGCCTCCAGGCGGGACATTGGTGCGGTGGGCTGGAATTTGGACAACTCCCGCTGCCACTCCTCATCGAATGACTGGGCTTCAGCTACAAGGCCAAAGAGGTGAGGGTCAGAGGTCAGGGGTGATGGACAGTTTTGGGATTCATGCACAGGGTGATTAAATGGAGCAAGTGCTAAAATGTGACCTTGTGTTTTGTTTCCCATTACTGAAGGGTAAATAAATAAAGACAAGAATGTGTTATGGCTGGCAGGGCTTGGCTGTAGCTTAAACAGGAAACAGGCAGAAAAATCGTCTTCTAAGGCTGTTTGAAATTCCAACTCAGGCCTAAACTATGTGAAGGTGAAATTTAATTCATTTAAAAATTAACTGCAAAACAACTATAATTTTGAGAAAATTCAATTTCACAACATTTTCTAAAAAAATGTAAGTGAGCATTAATTGAATATGACGAAATCTTGGGCATTTTCTTGGCTGCTCGATGCTTTTTTACAGTAGCTGTAACTGTAGCTTGTTCTGATTGGACATGATCTGCTCGCAAAATTACATCAAGCAACCTTTACACTTTGTAAATGTTGTAAATGACACTAAACACATTAAAAAAAGGAAATATATCGCTGTTGTCGGAAGAAAATCTTCTCCAAAATTGTAACTTTACAGGAGAAGGAAAAAACAGACTTTACTTTTAATGTAAGTCAATGGAACCAGACGTTTTTACAAGTAATTTTGGGCTGTTTCTTTTAGTCCATTCATCATGAAATTTACACACAATGTAAAGGACAACAGGTATTTTCCAATTCTGTCAAGAACTGGAAAACAACAAAAATGGAGATACGAGGTTTTCTTCCGATAGCAGCAATATATATTTATGATATATACCAATATCACAGTATACCAGCTGAGACTATATTTTGCACAGTGCTAACATCAAGGAATTCAGCCTATATATCCCACACAAGGCACTCTGTCTTTTTCCATCAGTTTAAGTTAATAAGTAAGATACTACAAGCACACTCACTCTCGTCCATGTTCTGGAAATCCTGGTTAAGCTCCTTCTCTCCGGTTTTTCGGTTTTGCTTCCTTTCGATAACGTGGCCTCTGTCCTGGATGTGGTGGCCAATGGACATCTTTTCTACGCCACTCTCTGAGTCCTTGAGAGCCCGCCTGGTTTCCCTAATCTACACACAGATACATACCGTCACTGTCCCACTGTATCCTGTATGTCTCTAAAGTCTTCACACACAACAGCTGTTCAGTACTGATGAAAACACACTGAGCCAGATTAATAAATACTGGGCCACACCAAACAAAATGTGTGGCACGGTATTGTGAGGGTGATCAGTGCACAGATCTCTCTTTATCGCTGCTGTATTTCTACACGTGCCCCATTAAAATGGACAAGTTAAAGAGCCAATGATCTTAAAGGGGAATTCCACTGATTTTTCAAAAATCTTTTAATTAAATAGTTATGATGTAAACAGAGTGATTCAGAGTGGTTTGGTGTGAAATGCTCTGTTCTAGAGAAACTTACCTAATCAGAATTGTTCACAGTGGTGGTGATAGGAACCAGACGTCCACCTCTAAAATCTCTCTGATGCCTGAGACATTGAGTGTGTTTACATGCACTTGAGTAATCAGATAATGGGGAAACTCTGGGTCAACATGAGTCAGACATTAATGGGATTTCTACTTTGCAGCCAGCCAATAAACTCACAGAAGACGACGTGACGTAAACCTAACATAAAACTCAAACTTGATGCCGTGTTTTTTTAAAACATTGCGCCGCTTTACCTGAAAATATGAACATACATAATCTAGAAGAAGAAGAATATTTAAATCATTCATTTCATGTTTGGTTTCAGCGTCACTGCAACAGTGTTTTGCTGCGTCTAGCAACATCCACCGTCTGATCTCACACATGCTCAGACTGAGAAATCAGAGTAAGAGTTCACATGCACTGAGAAATCTGATTACTGAGCTAAAATCCAGCCTTTGTCAGATTTCTTAATCGGATTTCTAAATCGGAGTATGGTGTTTACATGACCATTTGAATGATCAGATAACTGCAGAAATCCGATTATGATCAAATCATTGAGTTCATGTAAACACACTTTTGCCCCCATTTACCACTATATAAAATGACTATTTCTGTGTTGTAGTCATGGTTCCTATCACCACTGTAAAGAAATCCGAGTCTCTATGTTTCGCTATAATGAACAATTTCACATCAAACCACTCTGAATGAGAGTTTACTCCAATGTTTACATTTCAGTGATCGAATTACGCAGACATTTTGAAAAACTGGTGCAATTCCCCTTTAGTGACCAATGCACATCACCTCTCTGGGTGCCAGAATGGACATGCTATAGGAAAGAAAAACAAAAATCAGAGCTGTTGACTGTAAGATGTACTTTGGTTAGGCTGCAGCAACAAGTTTGATTAATGCTAAGTAACCACAGACCTTTCTAAAGCAATGTAAACTTCTATTCACTGTCAAAGTTGTGACAAGACAAAATACATAACAGGTCCAGCTTGTGACATAAACTGCTTGGCTATGTAGGAATGATGACTTTACTTCTTGTTTTAAATCATGGCAGATCAGCAAAATTGCACTGAAACTGTTGTAAAATACTCAATATTGAATTCCATATTAATATTCTGTCATGAAACTCACCTTCCTCCGTTTCTACAACTGGACTTGTTATGATCAATCCAAACAAATCAAAAGTAGCTTTTTAAATATATTAGTTACTTAACAGAGTGAGTGTACATACATAACTTGACAACTTGCATGACTAGAAATGTTTAACAACACTGTAGAAATATCACTCACTTCTTAAAATCCACTTCATCTTCTTACCATGGCCCAATCCCATTTCACCCCTCGCCCCTACCACTGAGCCCTTAGCCCTCTGTTTTGTGTGTTCACGTTTAGGGTTAGGGTGTCCCAATCTTTGTTGAGATAGAGGGGTAGGGTGAAGTGTTAGGGCAACATGACCCTCCAAACAGAGGTTTTTCAGAGACTCCAAACAGAGCGTATGAGAAAAAAAGAAAAACCGGCAAGATGGCTGAGCAAGAGACCAAAGAAACCCACAAATGTGAGAATTTTCTCTGTTAAAAAATTACGATAACCACTGTAAAATGTAAGTTTAATGCAGTTTCAATGTATTATGGTCCTTTTCTTCATAACGAGCATACAAAATCGCTATTAGCATGCTAATGTCTCTGTAGCTAGCTAGCTAACTTTCCCGTTCCACTTTAAATAGTCCAGGTGGAACAGGAAAATTAGAACAAGAAGCTGGTAAATATCTGGTAGAGAGTAAAGAGTAAAAGGTAAAGAGTAAAAGTGCAGCAGTAATTCTTGTTAATGAATGAGAACTGGTGTTTACCCGACACTTTGCTGGTGGTGCGTTTCATGAATCTAGCCGATTGCGTTTTAATACTGGCCCCTGTTCCTCAGTACTCACCCCGCCGGGAGCACACCGTGTCTGAGTGGAGGCCTGGAACACTTGGGTGGCTCATTTCCGACTTTAGAGTAGGTCATGACTGAGGAGGAGCTGAACGCGTGGGTGTTGGAGTCTGTGGAGATGTTGTCCTGAAACAAAATGAAGGGGTTTTAACCACAGGCCAGTCTAATCTCTTTCTAATCTCAAGACAACACAGTAATCACAGCAAATACAAGGACACTATTTCAGTTTCGAGTGTTGGGTGGATTTTGTAGTGGGTTTAGATGAACTCACAAGGTTCCGGTGCATGTTTTCCATTCTGTTTCTCATGTCTGCCATCACGTTGTCCATCATGGCAAAAGGGTTCCTGAACAAATCCATCTCCTACAGGGACAGGCATATATACAGACTCGCTGAGTTGACATGTACAAATTCTACAAAGGCTGTTTATATGCTGCTTTCAAGTGGTCTTGGTTTCATCGGGCAAACCGAGTGTCCCACCAGGAGGCACCGCATGAACATCCTTCAAAGCCAAATTCAATGCAACATAAATTGGCAGCTGGTGACATCAGTGCTGTTTATATCATGCCCAAAAAGCAAACAGTAAAACGACAAAAGCAATCAAATAAAACTACAAATGGTTGAAGAATTTTTAAAATATGTACTTTTTTATATCTACCACATTTGAGGTAAAAAAAACTTGTAAAACAGCCCAAATTGATAGATACTATACAACATCTGACAAATAAACTACAACAATCATTTCTCATTGTTCATGTTTATGTGGGAAGTGAACAAAGAGCTCTCTCTCTGAGAAAACTACTGACCTATTTGCATTTCAAAGCAGGTTTACTGCTAGTTACAGACTAGTAACGTCTCTTATTCCACCTGAAGTCACATCTCATGACAAATATTAAAATAACAGTTATGCTGATTAATGTCACGTAATAATAAGCAGACAAATGCTGTATGCGTGTAATATAACACAAAAGGGAGTGTATTTCCATGAATAACATCACAGCCTACTGCATTTTCATAGCTCGGGTTTCTCTTCATTCACGCACAAATCTTTTGCTTTGGGGGCAGTCGTGGGCTGGAGGTTAGGGACCCAGCCCTGTGACTGGAAGGTCGCCAGTTCGATCCCTTGAGCCAACAGTATGTGACTGAGGTGCCCTTGAGCAAGACACCAACTGCTCCCCGGGCGCTGTGGATAGGGCTGCCCACCGCTCTGGGCAAGTGTGCTTACTGCCCCCTAGTGTGTGTGTTTACTAGTGTGTATGTGGTGTTTCACTACATGGATGGAATAAATGCAGAGGTGAAATTTTCCTGCTGTGGGACTAATAAGGGTCACTTAATCTTAAGTTACACAACTGTCTTGCAGAGTTGACCGAATGATGTAAATGGAAAAATTATACAATGTTTGGGTGGAGATGTGTGTGGTGGCAAACAGCTGTTAATATATTCTAATATATTCTAACAGTTGAACATTTAGACGCACCTACTTATAAATAGTTTTTATAATTGATTTATGTTTTCCTCACATTATAGAATATTAATAAAGCTATCAAAACCATGAAATAGCTCATGCAGAATAATACAGTCAGAAATCTCGGGCTTCTACCAATTTTGACTCTTCCCTTTGTCTTGGAAGCAGCTTCAAAACTTTTTAAGACTGAGTCTTTAGGTTAAAATGCTTTTTAATAACTGGTTGTGTATATATAACACCACAACAAGGGACAGTACACTGACTAAACAGCGTTTGCTCCCATCAATCCCAACGTCTCTTATTCCCCAAGTTTCTTTCTCTCTATTCCTGTCTCTCTCTCTTATTCTCTCTGACATGTACACACATCCCTTCTTATGACCTATATTATCAACTTCTACAGCTCTTCAGTGCTCCTAGGTGTGCGCTGAGGGCAGCCTCTCCAACCCGTTCCTCCCATACATCACCACTTCAATCTAAGATCGCTACTGAAGTCTATCCTTAGGGCTTCTCCGTCATAACTGCTCATCAAAGCATTCCCTCCGACAGTCTGCTGGACAGTTCAAAGAGCGGGGCGCTTTCAGAGTATGTGCACTTATGGCTAAGAGCCCTTGTGGCGTTAACATGCGCTCTGAAGAACACATGGAGCTTAAGGGAGGGAATGCACCACATCAAGTTGTTAATGATGTGACACCAAAACAACAACTTGTACTTCTGTAAATTGTGGAGCGCTATAAAGATGTGAGAAATATATGCCAGGGAGAGTCGGTCCCATGTCCCAGGGCCAGATGTACTAAGCCTTTTATGCCAGTGTCGGGCACAAGAAGGACACGTTCTGCTTACGTTTTATGTACGAAGCTGGTGTAGAAATGTAAACGTGAAGTTTATGCATCAAGTATACGTCCAAAAGACTGTAAACACCAGCTCGTCCGGCTTTTCTTCTGAAATGAAGGGCGTTAACCTCTTATTCTTCAGGGTATATTTTGGTTTGTCCTTCTGAATTTACAGGCCCAAATCATAAGGCAAATTATTCAGTAACTGCATGAAATAAATGCAAATTTTTATTTTATTATTATTTTTTTTTGTAAAAGCTCCCCTCAAATTAACGGAACATGTGAATTATGAGCATACACATATTGCTATATGCTTATAATTTACTGCTGAAAGCCAAAAACCCATCTATTTGACTGGAAAGAAGACAGTTACAGCTCTCATATGACACCGACCTAATATATAATTACATAATTATCCATAGTTTATCGGTTGTAGGTCCAGGTCCGCAGAGGACAGCGTCTGGGTCTGGACTCGGACCGCGGTCCGTCTATTAGTGACCTCTGCACAAGCTGTTGGAACACTGCTGTGAGGATTTGATTGAGCATTAGTGAGGTCAGGTACTGATGTTGGATGATCAGTTCTGAATCATAAATCATCCCAAAGGTACTGGATGGAGCTCCATCACTCCAGAGAACACAGCTCCACTGCTCCCCAGCCCAAAGCTGGGGGGCATTATACCCCTCTAGCTGGCGTGTGACATTGGGATTGGTGACCTTAGGCCAGGGGTGTCTGACTGAACACCCTGCCTTGAGCTCATGTGCGGCTGCTCCATATGTGACCATCTGCATTCCAAAATATGCCTTAATGCAGTTGCAATGTGTGCTTACAACCTGCATTGTTTCCCAAACTGTGCTTTTGTGAGTACAATTACAGCCAAGCTGACAATAATGTGACAGCAAAACAGTCACTTGGTACTCGTGCTTTCATTTTTGTCCCAAGCTTGTCGATGGCTCCACTATTTCACTGCACCCCACAGTATGAGTACGCATTTCTACACTCAGCTTGATCAGCCAAATCCTTCCTAAATCACGCGTTAATTTGAAGCGTGTTGCGAGAGAACACTGTGGCCGCATCAAGTCACATTTCATGCTGCACCTGCTCACGTATGGACATCTGGCCCTCGGAGTGCTAGTGTCTTTCTAAGAATTTCTAAGAAGGCTAAAACTGACCCTTCATCAGATCTAATTCCCAGAAGTTCTCCCATTGTTTGTGCTGGTATTCTAAATAAGCCCAGCACTGCTACGCCAGCATGAATGTGTGCCAAAGTGGCAGATGTCCCGCCTGTACCGATAAAAAGGGCATCCTAAAGCCCGGTGCTTCCAGATTACCAGCTTGGCGAGATCTGACTGTTACAAAACTCGCTAGGGTGACCAGATCACAACGGTTCAGTTGCAGGACAGCATGGCTGCTTTTGCCGGACAATGTGGGATACAACGTGGGGTCAGGGGTTTAATCGATCTTTCTTGACTTAAGGAATGATATGAATAAGCTGCACACAGATTTGCATTAAAGTAGTGAAGACAAAGGCGTTTAGGCTTAGATGTTTCCTTACATTCTGAAACTCAAGGCTTTTTTTTTGTTTCCTTGAGCCAGACATTTAAACTCATCTTCGACTTTGACCACCAAAACTTTTAGCGGCGGGTTTTAAATGTAAAATCATGTCTGCTCATTTTAACAGTCAGTAAGCGAGAGTAATCGTTGGACTAAGACGATTAGATTTTTGTACATATTTAAAGTTATTACAAAAATGATCACATTAGATAGATAATGAACAATATATCTATGAGATATTACATGACGAAAATTCTAAAAAAGCAGTGTTCATGTAGGCTTTGCTTTTAATTTATTCCTTTCATCTTTTATTTAAGTAACAGTTAGAAATGGACAAATAACTAAATTACTAGTAAGTTTCCTCTCTGTAAATGTGATTTCTGCCTGGTTAACGTTTACAATAACATAAAAGATTCCCCTTGGTGTAATAAAAAAAAAACAACAACAACAAAACAACAGAATAAAAAGTCCAATCAAAACAAGTGAGTCTGTATGACATTCTTTTAGCACAGAGTAGCAGCTCTCAGAAAATACAGGTTTATTAACTTCATTAATGCTAACCTAAATATCATCAGATTCCATAATATATTAGAAAAAAAATCGTCAAACTGAATTTTTTCAATACCACCCAGCAGCTCCGGTTTACTTTTGGTTAAATATATCCATATTTGTCTGCTTCCCATTTGAAAGCAACATAGAAGCCACTTCTGCTTAGCTGTTTGACAGTTGCGGCTGGATATAGATAGAAATGTTTTTTGTTTATTTGTGCCTGAACCCGTCAATCAAATCCTTAAAATTCCTTTACGGTCAAGGGTCGAATCCAGGCATAATGCCAACTATAAAGAAGAAACATAAAGCCAAAACTGATCTCAGGCCAGGGAGTAAGGGGATATATGTAGATGGTCAATGTAAGGGGCTGTTGCTGGTACTGCCAGACCTTATTGCCCTGGGAGAGTCGCTGCTGCGCACATCAGGGCTGGGAGGATGAACAAAAATCATTTTACTTATTATTAATTATAATTAAATAACGCATTAATTAATATACTATTAGTTACTCATGCCAACCCAAAGACGACAACATAACGAACAACCATGGGGTGTGAAATAACTACCCAACTAAATAAATAAAGAAATAACTCTGATAGCTTGTTAGTTGTCCCTGGTCATATTAAGTCAATATGGTTAATCCTGGTCAATATGTCGTTGGTCATTTTGCGCACGATATATCATATCTTAAATAAATAAATAAAATCCATTTTTCCATAATCTTCCATCGTAATGTAATGTCTGCCCTGCCTCTAAAAGCAGCAGCAGGCAGGACAAACGCATGTCTGAACAGGTGCGTATGTGTATGAACCCTGAAAGTTCAGTATATAAAGTTCATCGGGTGTTGAGAGGACCACAGTCTTTGCAAAATTGGTGTCTGTCACTGCGGATTATTCTGGCATTTCAGAGTGAAGCAGATTCTTTTCCTCCGAACTGATCGCGGCTCTATGAGAGCCAGGGTCTTGACAGCGCTGCATCAGCTCCTCCGAAAGGTCACGCTGCTGTAAACCTATCAACACTCCTGAAAGAGAGCTAAAGACTAATAATGCCCCTGAGAGAAGGCCACGGTTATCTTTCGGGTGCGAGGGTCTCCTAGTTTAAATGGCGTAAAATCCAGAGCAGGGGTAAAAGGTTCTTTCATTAACACACTATTTTGGGTGAACTGTGTGAGCCGGGAGCTATGTTGCTGACTTGAGTTCATGACCCATTTCTGCAGCGCCTCGTCACAGCAGCGGGTCTCCTCTTGCTCCTCTCCCAGATGCTTTTTGCTTGACTGGGCTGGGAGGTGAAGATGACTCACAGCTCCAAAGGGAAAAGGTGCTTTTATTTTGGCGACTGATTTACAAACAAGAGATCTCGGTAGGGGAGGGGATTCTGAGAATTATCAGCACAACGGCGAAGCCGCAGATGCCACCTTAGCATGACTCAGGTTATCAAAATGACAGCGCTACCGCCAAGTCTTACGCATGACTGACGATGTGGCAGGCCGTGTCGGATCATCTCTTATTTTCATTCTGCGTTTGTAATAAAGAGTTTCCTGAAAGCTGAGGGTAAGTAAGCAGGGAGGCAATAAAGAGTGCAACGTGATAGTTCCAAAAGATTCTCGATTAAGCTCTGGACATATTCGCCGGGTTGGTGGAAGGGCCAAGTGTTAGAATGTGTATCTGCATCTGTGTCTGCTGCAGAAAGATCCTCCAAAGCATGCCTGATACTTGAGAGTGGTGGTGTGTTCTGTGTATGAAAGCTGATGACTTGCGTGGCTGCCAAAGCAGGTGTGTGAGAATACCGAACCCTCAAACACAGCAACAGGCACATAAACACATGAATCTAGAATGGCCCCAGAGTAGACACCTGGAGCACCCCTCTAATAATTTAGGCTAAGCCAGTGGCATGACCTCTACCCAGCATGCCCCATAAAACCAAACCTTCCTAAACTCGCCAACCATGACCTGAATCAGCTCACGCTATCTTTACGGCCTCTTGGCTGGCCTCGGACAGGAGCAGCCCAAAAAAAAGAAGGAGATTGCAGGTCAGAGAAGACTCTGGCATTTGATGAAAGTAATCAGCATGGATAAATATACAAGCCAGATGGAGTGAAGGTGGAGGGGTTATAGAGGGACATGGGAACTATGTTTAGCACCCTGGGGGTGCTACAGCAGGCCAGCTGGCCATCATGAGACCTCAGGGCTACATGGACAACCCAGCACACTATAAGTAGTGGGCTGACAGAGAGGGCAGTCAGTCCATTCTGTTTTGTATTGTCACTGCAGTGGTACGATATCAAGTGCATATGTGGTGTTATTTCAGTGTCTTTAAATTATGACCAACAGAAAAGACAAATATATAAATGTATAGTTACTTTACTTTCTATAATACTAAAACAATGTAGGGGGAAAAAAGTGAAAAACATAAGGAAATTGCTGCTTTGACTATTTCTCTTAAAGCCAACAGCTGTACATGTACTTGTAATTTTCAGGGAATCCAAACCTTTCAGGGATAAATTTCCCAGACCCAGATTAAACCAAAGCCTAAGGAGGATTTTTAAATGGTGAAACATGACTGATGTCACAGTTTAGGCCTTAATCCATGTTCCGGAAACCAAACATAAGGGTTTATGGTTCTTCTGAACACCCCAGACTTTGTATTTGAGGGCAGATTTGCAAAAATGTTCAAAGTAATAAGACATTACATCCAATTTGCCTATTTAATGAGCAAACAAAGCAGAAACTCGATCTGCCAGCCTATGTTTAAAAAAGCAGCGCTCCTTTCGAGCGTACGTGTCAACGGTTCAGTCAGTTGAGTCCCCAAGAGAGTCTTCAATGAGTTTGAGTGAGAAGCAGTGTGTCAGTGGAACAATGCTGTCCAGCCAGCTAAAAATACCCGCAGGGCTAAACATAGCACCTTGAGGGGCGATAAGGACTTCTCCTTCACTAGCAATCCTCTACACTCCGGACCTCTCCCTCCAGTGCCCAATACGTCTGAAACCACTATGCCAGTAAAGAGCCTCGGGTTACACCAGCATGGCAAATTTCCATCATGACCTCAGTAAACTCCCCTTGCTGGCATTGTTATTTTAACTACTGCTGTGTACCGATAGGGTACAATGCTAGAAGTTGGACACATGTTGAGATTCTTTCACTCATCGGCCAGGCTGGAGAGTATGTGGGTCAGTGCGAGTCGAGGAACTGGGCCGGGCGTTGGATTGAGAGTTTTGACCATGGGAATTGCGAGTATCTAGACCGGAGCGCAAAGTTTGAGCGATGAGCCAAGCGAACAGGAGTTACAGGGGTCAATGTGTTTTGACATGCTAGCAATGTCAGAGCTGGTCCTGACCCACGAACGCACACATCCTCCTGAGACTAAGCACTCATATGACATCTGTACATAATTCTCAAAGCAGATATGACTGTACACCCTTAAATATAGAATGAACGGCTGCCACAGTGCACAGGGTGAACCAGAAACTCTGACTTGACATCTGCATGAGGTAAAGCTGAAAGGGAAATTCTGAGCATTTTATTATTTAATTTCTGCATAATTATGTCAGTGGTTTGTGTGAAATGTGGCATTCTAAAGAACTTTTTCACAGCTGTGGTAACAGGAAGAGTTTAACGCCTCTAAAAGCTCCCTCACCAAAAGCTCTTATGTAAAATGCCTAAGTGTATTGCTTAAGAGACAATTTACAGTAGTTGCACAATAAGGTTTTGGTCTAAATGCATTTTATATGAGTAGCCTAAGTTTGACCTTTTTTGTTTTGCCATTATTTTATCATTTATTTTCCATATTAAAACCCACATGCAGGTTCACTTGGTGGTTTTGTACAGTAAATAAAATGGCCATAGTAGTGTTGTAGTCATGGCGACCCCTGGTTCCTATCACCACCACTGTAAAGAAATCTGAGTCTCTACAATCAATCATTTCGCACCAAACCACTCAGAATGACTTTAATGATTGAACGATGCAGATATCTTGAAAAACTGGTTGACTTCTTTAAGGTTGGCTCTCAGTACTCAGCTCTCGGTACTCACTCTGTGGTCACTGCGGTGGGCTACGCTAGTGCTGGGTTGGTCCTCTCCCCTGCGTCCTCTGTCCCGGCCATCTGTGATACTGGGCATGAAACCATGGCCAAAAGGATCTGAAAAACTCCTCATCATATGCCGCATACGCTCACTGTGGGCCTGGAATGGGTCACTACCATATAGAGAGAGCAGAAAACAGCAATCAGGCCTGAGTTCATAATCTCTTAAAGTGGCAAGAGGTGTAATACAAAAGATCCAGTCATGCATTAAGCATAGGAGAAGACTGAGACAGGATATAGGAAAGCCTACCTTGTTGAGCTAAAGGAGAGAAAAGAAGGAAAACGGGAAAATATTACTGGAGCACATAAACACGCAGGACAATTCATCAACTTTACCAGGTGTAAGCTGGAAATGCTTATGCATGCTGACTGAGCAGATGGAGGGGAAGCCATGTGTGCTGCATTTTCAAGTGATCTCACTTTACATTCACTTTACAGATCTCACTTTACTAAACTCAGCAAGAACACTAAAGCAGCGGAAAGACCCTATGAATCACCTTCTGCACTCACAATCAGTTTTAGCTCCAACGCATGCAGTTCAAACACAGCAGGCTGGAGCTACTTCACACAGGAGTGTAGAATCTGACGATTATGAGTACATAAATATTACGGCCAGTGTGGCGAGTTTGGGTCAGAATGACACTATACTGTTCAAAAATGGCTGCTCAAACTAGCATTTATTCGCAAATGAAGGGTATTAATAGTGAGTTTGTCCCCCTTTGCTGCAGTAACAGCCTCTACTCTTCTAGAAAGACTTTACACTAGATGTTGGAACATTGCTGTGAGGATTTGATTGGGCATTAGTGAGGTCAGGTAGTGATGCTGGATGGTCAGTTCTGGATCACTCCAACTCATCCCAAAGGTACTAGATGGAGCTCCATCACTCCAGAGGACACAGTTCCACTGCCCCACAGCCCAATGCTGGGTGGCTGTATTCCCCTCTAGCCCACGCTCAGCATTGGGCATAGTGACCTTAGGGGAATTCCACCAACTTGTAAAAAGTTCTGCATAATTTAATTGTTGAGATGTAAACAAAAGTCTTTCAGAGTGGTCTGGCGTACACTGCAGGGAAATTTATCAACTCAGATTTCCTTTATAGTGGTAATGATGGAAAGCAGAGGTTGCCATGTCTACAGTGCATATGTACCCATTTCATTTTCTATCAAAAATGACAAGATTTTAATATGTAAAGTTAAAGTTGTAAATCTTGAATATTAATTAATAAACAAACAGATAGACACACAGACAAATTTAAGGCCAAAACCTTATTGAAAAACTGTCATACAACGTCTCAATAGGTCACTTCACAGCAAACCACTCTGAATGACTTTATTCACATATCAACCATTCAATTACACAGACATTTGTAAAATCAGTAGAATTCCTCTTTAAAGCAGGATTCACTTATTAAACAGGCTTCTGGATACTTCTGGGCATGTAATGGAACATGTTAATTAATTAGTTGTTAAACTAATTAAGCTGGCAATTTAAAGGCGACTTCATAATTTTCAAAATGTCCGCAAAATTCATTGGTTGTGATATAAACAGTCACTCAAATAGTTTAATGTGAAATAGTTCGTTTGTAGAGACACATACCGACTTAGATGTCTTTACAGTGGTGGTGATAGGAACCAGGGGTCGCCATGACTACAACACAAATATAGACATTTTATTTACCATCCAAAATCACCAGTGAACCTACACGAGTCTTCTGAGTTTCTGTAGCGTTACAGTTTTTTGCCTCATGTTTTCTTCGACCATGAATGGATTAAAATAAGTTCATTAAAATACGTTTGGACCAAAACTTTGTCACAAAACCCACGTAAAACAACGTTTTCATAACCATTTCGTGTAGTAGCTTTCTGTGAGGGAGCTTTTAGAGGTGGACGTCTAGTTCCTATCACCACCACTGTGATCGGTTCCGACTTGGTGAGTTTCTCTAGAACAGAGCATTTCACACCAAACCACTCTGAATGACTCTGTTGACATCTTAAACATTTACAAGTACAAACTTTGGAAACTCGGTGGAGTTCCCCTTTCATTTCGAGACGCTTCTAGTTAAGGTAAGATAACGGCTCCAGCCAAATGCAGACAGTGTAACAGGTGTTAGTGGGAAGACAGTGACTTATATGTAGAATTTCAGTCAAATGCAGGATATAAGGTACAACCTAGCGGTGTCTTCGAGGTTCTGGGAACAGCTGACCGAGCAAAGCCGTTAAGGTTAGTAAGAGAAGCGATTCAGAGACTTACGAAAAGAAGGGGTCGTCCTCGAAATCCCTGATAAGACTGCCGAACATTTCCACAGGTTTAAAGGAGCCTTAACAAACTGGCTGAGTGAGCTTTATTAGGGAAAAGTAAAGTCGGAGACTCTGCTGTCCGTCAGCTTCACCCCCGAGCGCCGCTAATGCTGTTATTATTGAAACTTAAAACGCATTTAGACCGCACGGTTGTTCTGTGAGCGAACCCCGTGAGCCGCTTCGGAGCGTCTGATTGGCTGGCCGCTGCGGGGCCCCTCCCCCTGCCGCTGTTACCGTTAGCCGGTGTTGGGTGCTTGATGTCATAGCAACGCCTGTTCTAGATAGAAGCTGCTTTCTAGAAAAGTCTGGAGCGATAAGTCATGTTCTTCATTTGGCTCTGAAAAACCTGAACGCGGTGCGTCAGTGTTTGTAAATAACGTGTCCTGATAACATGATAACAGTCTGTCATGTTGTTATTAAAAGGTTGTCTGTAAGTTTGTGTTAAAGGGGAATTTCAAGGTTCTCGCTAGATAATAAATGGTCGAGATGTTAAGCAGAGTCAAGTTTCAAGTTTCAAGTTTATCTGTCATTTGCAAAACATGTCAGGACATTCATGCATTGAAATGCTTGTGGCGAGACTCAGCTAATCACTACAGAAAGTAAACAAAGTGAAAATAAAATACAGAAGAAAATAATGAAACTGAAATATATTAAATACTCACAAAATATAGAGACAGGAGGGACCTGTGTAAGGAGGAAAAAAAAACTCTCTGCTACTTACAAATATATTTATATTAAACAAGGGATAATCTGTGAAGAATATATACATTTTAAAGTGACTTAAGTGACTCAGTGTTATTGTTATTTAAAGTGACTTAGTGGTGGACATCTGGTTCCTATCACCACCACTAAGTCACTTTAAATCACCGACTTGGTGAGTTTCTCTAGAACAGAGCGTTTCACACCAAACCACTGTGAATGACTTTGTTGACATCTTACCCACTTAATTATATACAAACTTTGGAAACTCGGTGGAGTTCCCCTTTCATTTCGAGGCGCTTCTAGTTAAGGTAAGATAACGGCTCCAGCCAAATGCAGACAGTGTTACAGGTGTTAGTGGGAAGGCAGCGACTTAAATGTAGAATTTCAGTCAAATTCAGGATATAAGGTACAACCTAGTGGTGTCACACTAAACTATAAAATATTTATATATATACATATATATATATATATATATATATATATATATATATACATATATATAATAAACAAGGGATAATCTGTGAAGAATATATACATTTTAAAGTGACTTAATGTTATATGTATTGTTATATGATATAACAATACTGACAAAGTGACTGAGTGAAATGGTAGTTGGGGAAGGACCCACAGCTTCACAGCTTGTTCAGAAGCCTGACAGCCTGTGGGTAGAAACTGTTCATTAACCGGGTTGTTCTAGCCTGTATGCTGCGGAACCTCCTGCCTGATGGCAGGATGGTGAACAGGCTGTGTGCTGGATGATGCTGTCTGACCAGATCTTTTTGATTTTCCTAAGGCAGCGGGACTGATAGATGTTCTGTAAGCCTCATTGTCATCATGTAAGGCCTGTAAGAGTCATTCAGAGTGGTTTAGTGTGAAATGCTCCATTCTAGAGAAACTTACCGAGTCACAGTGGTGGTGATAGGAACCAGACGTCCACCTCTAAAAGCTCCCTCACAGAAGGTTATTACATTAAATGGTTATTAATAAGCTGCCTGATGTCTGAGACACTGTTTTATGATAGTTTAATGACAAAGTTTGGGCTTAAAAATTTTTTTAATTAGTTTATTTTAATCCCTTCATGGGATTAAAACATGGAATGTGTTGAAAGGCAAAACAGTCCACCCAAAAACTTATTTTCTCAGATTTTCCACTATTTTACCATCATCCATGTTACATAACAAACTCAGAAGACATAAGGTAAAAATGACTTGTCAGTTCAACCTAAAACAGCCTTTATGTGGTAAATACTGAATTAGTTTTATTCAGTCTAAATAAATACTTTGAACGAACGATTCTCTAGATCAAAGTAATTTGTTTGAGTTGAATAAAACTAGTTCAGTTGCTCGTTACCACATGAGGTAATGTTTTAGGTTGATCTGACAAACTATTTTTTACAGTGTAGGTTCACTGGTGGTTTTGTTATAGTCAATAAAATGGCTATATTAGTGTTGTAGTCATGGCGACCCCTGGTTCCTATCACCACCACTGTAAAGAAATCTGAACCATTTCACACCAAACCACTCTGAATGACTCTGTTTACATCTCAAGGAAATTTAGAAAAAATTGTTTCCCTTTAAGAAGAAGTTTTCTATTTCATGCTTTAGATTGGTTACTCAGATCTACCAAGAACAGCTTGTGTGACAGTTCAAAAAGTTATTAAGACTCATTTATTCTTATTCTATAGAGCATACAGAGCTGCATATCTATGTATAATATGTTCTACACAACAATAATAATAACAATAATTACAATAAAAATGGAAATAGGAAAGGGAATACATTCCTATATGGAAAGTATAATGTATTAAACAAATACATTTGAAAATGTGTGGACATGGCCAAATTATATTTTACACTTAATGTACTTTCTAAATTTTAGAATGAAACAATGCATCTAAAGTTTTTCTCACATGTAACAATAATAATAATAATAATAATAATAATATCAAGACAGCAAGCATATGATGGTCTGCATACAAGGTCTAACTAGTTTTTAATCTCCTTAAACAGATTTTAAATGCATGTAGCCTTTTATTATGGAAAATAAGCAAAAACAAATATTACAAACTACTAAGGAAAAAAACAATGGCTGGGCCTAATATATAATGATTTAGTTAAAAATGCGGTCGCTATAACTGATAGACTGGTTACAGCTGTATAATCAGCTTTATTTATGATTTTACTGTCAAAATTATTTGCTAAACTAATTTACAAAGGATAACAAAAGAAAGAAACAAAGGAAAAAAAAAATAATAAACTGGACGAGATGAAAAATGGCATTTTGTCTTACACACTGCTTGACCACCAGTGGGCCACCCAGAAAATGCTGAGCAAAAAGCCAGTGGGCTGCCAGCTTTGCCATCAGCGGGCCAACAGTGGCCCACTGTCCTCCTGGTAATTATTATTGTTTATTATTATTATTACTGCTAATGTGTGAATTACACTCTTGGGTGAAATGGTTCTGAAATGGTCAAAAATGCCCAGATAAGGTTTTACCTGCCCATTTCTAATCCTGTGATTTGGCCCTAGAATGAAATGAGCTGTTTTCTGAAAGAGCTTTTCCGAAGAGCTTTTCTCTGATTGGCTGGTTTCAACAAGGCTCACACAAAAGCAACATGTCAAAACAGACACAGGCAGGAAAATGAAATGAAAATTGGTGTAAATAAGCCAGGTCATCGTACTATTTGGCTAGCTATGCTAATTACTGGAAGCTTGCTAGTAGCTAACGTTACCTAAACTAGCTACTTGTTTTCAATCTCGACAGCAACACAAAGTAAATTAAAGTTGTTAGTTCGCTATGAAACTTTCAATTTAAGATAATCTGGTTTCACCCATCAAAGAGACGGTTACAAGTTTCGGCTGGGGTTATGATGCTAATAAAGTTGGAGCTGCCACTTTCTTCAGTCTCAAGCGTCAGCCACTGAACGAAGCTGCTTGATATCGCCTAAGGTTTGAGAAACTGTCCACAAACCAAGCAAACAGCTTTAAATTAAAGTTGTCCGGAACCCTGTTAGAGATGTGGGGGCTGAAGTTGGCTTCTTATCCGTCAGCTTGTTTTGCGAATTTTCTGCTCCACCTTAAATGATGCTGCAGTTATGATCTGGCACCTGTACATGTTGTAGCATTTAAGGTGGAACAGAAGGTGGTTAAGAAGCTGGTGAATAGGAAGAAAACTTCAGCCTCATTTAAAGACGAACATCAGTCATGCCTGCTGACAGCTTGGTTGCTTGGGAAGGGAATGAAAAGGGCCAACATCCCTTCACAGCCTGGAACGGTACATTTCTGCATGTAGTCTGCCATTTTCATTGTTGCTGCTCCATTGTAGATGTTATCCTGACCTAGAATGTGGGCTGGTGTGAGTCAACAGTGTTACATAACAGTTTAGGATTTTGAAATTGGCTCGTTTTACTGCCCTCTTTTACAAATGTGGGATTTGTATTTGAACAAGACAGTGGCGGCTGAGGTTCACGATGTGTCGGTTTCGTGTACTGAACTCTCCTCATTCAACTGTGCCAATGTAAATACAGTTGTCCATTCTATGGAGCCTTTAAACAACTATATACAACAGGTTTCCTGTCATAGAGAAGAACAATTTAACCATGCAAAGAACTATTTATGCATTGAAATTGAGTGTTCATAGTTCTATATATAACCACTGCCTTTACTATAGAACACCCCCCCCCACCAGCTTTTTCAAGATTATAGAATATAGTAAGTGTAAAAAATTCAAAGCGTGTGATTACAGTGCCAGCTGCACACAACAATTCAGACTAGACAACGTATGGCATGAGAATCACTCAAATCCCCCCAAATGACCAGTGGAGGAGGTCCTGTTGTCATCACGTCTACTTAAGGAAGTGTGAAGGATGCCTGTAAGAACATCCAGCGGGCTGGAGTGGGAGCTGCCATCGGACACCTCGGCATCTGCCAGTGTGATGTAAGACTGACCATCTGCTGGAGGACGAACAACCACAACCACCCCCAGACACGAGCATACCACTCACTCAATCACACAGAGAGCTGTGCAATAGTCAGAGACCACCCTTCACCTATTCAACGGGCCCATATGGTCTAAACAACTTTTCTCACCTTTTAAAGTTTTTTTTAGTGTGTGAACACGTCCAAAGTTTCAGAATTCAGTCCTCAGTCCAAACTGTATATATCGCCTTTGTCGGGAAGAAAACCTCGTATCTCCATTTTTGTCGTTTTTCAGTTTTTGCCATAATTTAAAAATACCTATTGTCCTTTACATTGTGTGTAAATTTAATGATGAATGGACTAAAAGAAACGACCCAAAATGACTTGGAAGAAAGTCTGGTTCCATTGACGTACATTAAAAGTAAAGTAGGTTTTTCCCTTCTCCTGTAAAGTTAACATTGTGGAGATACGAGGTTTTCTTTCGACAGCAGTGAAATATGGAAACTAAGCTACAAAAATGGCCTGTTCTAAATTCACTGTTTTTGTGATGTCACAAAAACAATCACATTTACACATCTTCTTATTTGGTTTACAGTTGTCTAGCCCCGCCCACTCACACTGAAGGAGTGTTTCAGCATGGATTGTTTTTTGAAAGATGCTCAATAAAGTACAGCCAATCAGAACAGAGCTCATTTACATACATCAGTCCTGAAAACACAGTAATGAAATGGTCATTAAAAATAAACGATGCAAAAACAGTATGATATGCTAGCACTGGTGGTATGCTGTGTTAGGGGGAGTCCTAACTAGTGAGTGGAATTGAATATGTCTAAACTGAGGGGAACATTGGTGGGGGGGTGTATAATAAGGGCCCTTTAATTTCCAGTCAGCTGAGGACATTATATATAAGATAATCCATTTATATGAAGAAGGAGAAAGTCAAAGAAACACTCTTAAAAAGTGCCACAAAGGGTTCTCTGAGCAATGACACAGTACAATCACTGTGGTTTCCTAAAGAACCATTTTTGTAAATTAGATTTAATTAAAGATTTAATTCACATAATGTAACGATTCTTCACCAAATTAGGTTCTTCCTACATCCTTTAGATTATGTAGAGGTTCTTTAAACTTCAAAGGCACAAAACTTTCATAAAAATACATTTGTAACCTTTGAACGTAATGTAAACATTCTAGGAAGAATTCTTAAAGTGACGAGGGACCTTTGAACTGTGTGAAGTTTTTTTTCAAAGCCTTTAAAAGTTTCTTCATGCTCATAAATCTTTTTTAAACATGGTTCTTCAGGGAACCAAAAGTGCTTAATCTATGACATCGCTCATAGAACCCTTGCGGCACCCTCTGTAGAACATCAAAACTGGACATCTGAGATGTGGAGGAAGCCTTTACAGATGGATGAGTCTAAATTTGTAGAGTCAAATTTAGACGCTGATGAGTCTAATCCTAGCCTAACCCTAGGAGAGAAGCAGAGAGTGCAACCAACTCCTAAGACTGAACTTTGGAGTGAAAAAACTGTGAAAAAAGTGGGTCTCCTGAAAAGAATGGAATATATGGTAACAAAGGTAAAGAGTGGACACAGTAAATATTGAAACATGAATGTTAGTATTAGTTGCTGAGACTTCTGTGTAATTTTCTGTTAAACATGTGTTTTGCTTTTATTTAGTTGTATTTAATGGCTGTTTTGAGTGGAAATAAATGAATAAATTAATAAAATGAGCTTACACTTTTTCTTAATTAGAGTTTTATTTAGTGTGTGAACTTTCTAAGTTTTAAAATTCCAATATAAGTCCATACAGTCTATATATGGAAACTAAGCTACAAAAAACAAACTGTTTCGAATGATCTCCTTTTGTGATGTCAAGAAAACCATCATATTTCCATATTTCCAACTTTTTTTTTAGTTTGACAGCAGTTTATCCCCGCCCACTCTACACACTATGGGTGTGTTACAAACAGTGTTTTAGCCTGGACTGATTTTCAAATGATGCTCAATACAGTACAACCAATCAGAACAGGGCCCATTAACATATTCAAAACTGAAAGTGAGTCTCCTAAAAGAATGGAAGCTGTAATAAAAGTAAAGAGTGACACACTGAACATTAAAAAATACATGTGATTATTAGTTGCTGAGGATTTTGTGTAATTACTGGTTACATGTTTTCTGCTGATACTGAAAATAAATAACTGAATGGCTGATTTAACAGGAGACAAAATAAAGGAAAGGTGCTCTGATATTTGAACAGCACTGTATGAACACACGTCCACACACACACACACCCCAACACCCCCCCTCCCCCAACAAACAAACAAACACACACACACACACACACACACACACACACACACACACACTCACACACACACGCATAAACTCTCTGGAAGATCTACTAAGAATCGTTAACAGACACCTCATCACTTTATAGACTTTACCTCGACACGTCCAGACGGGGACATCCACAAATAGACCTGAACTGCAGAAGGTCCTTCTACGCGGACTGAAAATAGAGCTCAAGGCTGGACGACGGACCAAGGCCTACACAAACCTACGCTTCAGAGCCGCAGAGTCTCCACTGCTGACCATGAAGCCCCACTCAGTTCAACGGCTTTTCGTGATTTCACCTTGACTGCATCTGATTAATCACTTCCAGAAAGATGTTTTATTTTTGATAAAGTCAAAACAACAGAATAAACATGACAAACGTCACACTTTAGCACAAAAACAGGTATTTGTGCTCCTTATCATTCACCGAACATCCACTAAACATCATTATGCTGTACAGTGACATTAAAAAAAATGTTTTTTTAAAAAAAAAGGTTTTTACTTTCTTTAAAAAAGGTTTTATTTTGACACAAATTTTTTTCTTCCTCTTTTATTTTGTCATATTAGAGAAGCATGTGCATCTAACAGATCACAAAAATAATGATTAAAATAAAGAAAAAAAAGGAAAGACAAAAAAAAGAGACCCAAATACTAGAAACCTGATTGGCTCACTCTTAGTCACATGACTGAAACTTGCGCTTAAACTGAAATATGAATCATCAGAAATAATATTAAATCAGTAATTATTGCAGACGTTGTAAATATTGTACGTATTTCCACACTGGTAGGCTACAATTTAGCTGAATGCAAACACAGGGGGATAAAGTAAGCTGTTATTTGGAAATTCATATCTGGAAACAAATATTTTGTAACAAAATCCCAGGTAGAAACATTAATATTAAAATTTTAGCATCAGAATGAGCTATGATATGACTTCATTTACTTTCTGCCTAGTTGTTTTGTCTGATTTCTCCTCATAGAAAACCAATATATTGCTCACTTAACTCTACATTTCCAAACGACATCCTTTCTAAACTCATCTACTTTAAACAAACTCTTATGTGGTTAAAAGAAAAAGGCAGAATGTTTTTGGGCGGTGGGCTTGAGATGTTTCGGTCAGAGCACTGGACTCCCCATCAGCCTCTCCTGCCGCAGAGACAGCAGTCGATTCAGCCACAACTTCTCTGCTTCTTCTTTATCCAGGAACAACTACAAGACAAGCAGAGCGTCAGTGTCAGTGGTTAGAATCTCTCTGCTAGGATGGCTCTGCTTCACCAGCAGCTGCAGCTGTCACTGCATCCACCAGGTGGCACACTGCATTTATTTATAACTTCATTCCAACGCTGTTAACAAATATAATAAGATCTTTGAACCTAATTCTAGATATTTCATCTAGACTTACACTACACTCTCAGAAATAAAGGTAGTAAACTGTCACTGGGGCAGTTCCCCTCTTGTTACTGGGGTGGGACCCTCAAGGGTACATCTCCGTAACTTTAATCAGGGAACATAACTGAACCATAATCCACTGAAATTATATTTTGATGTACTGACTCCACACACCCCATCTCGACTCCAGGCTTTTTATTTTACTGTTTTGTTTTAAAACATTAGATTATGAAAAGGTACAAATACAAACTTTTCACCTGGAAAAGCTTATTTAAGGTTCACAGTTGGACCTTAAAACCACTGTTGTACCTTTGAGGGAACATTTACATTGTTTGTACCTTGATGAACAAAAAATGTACCTGCACATAACCTTTATTTCTAAAAGTGTAAAAAAGGTTTGGAATCACTTGCCATATTAATATTTTGTGTTATTTTACTTGTAGCAATAACTTCAAATACCACAAACCCTTCACCAAATGGTACATTCAGATGTTTTATTTCAAATATTCTGTGACTAAAATGATAAGTAATATAGTGTAATTATGTATTTACATTAAAGGGCCCATACCCTACCCTATTCCCGAAATCAACTTCCATTTGCAGTGTTTCAGCCGGAACGAATTTTTTTCAGCTAGGAGACACAATACAGGATGGCCAATCACAACAGAGCTCATGTGCATATATACCAGTCGTAAAAGGGCTCACATCCTACTTTATTTTTGTTATTTTATGAACCAAAAAGTCATAATTAAGTCATAATTAAGTTAAATATGACCATTTCCAGCCTTTATGTGACTTTTAAACCTCTCTTTTTATCCCTTAAAGTAAACAGGTCTCTGTTCTGATTGGCAGACCTCATTCAAAAAGCAGTCCAGGCTCAAACTTTCCTTATAACACCCAGTGTGAATGGGTGTGGCTAAACTGCTGTAGGCTGAACAGGTGGATTTGTAAAGGTGACAGTTTTTTGTGACATCACCAGAACAGTGAAATAAAAACAGGCTGTTTTTGCACATTAGTGTCTATGTACAGACTGAGGAGTGAACAGTGTTTACATCCCACATCAAACTCCTTTATAGAAAAAACAAGGAAGTTTTTCCATGATATGGGCCCTTTTAGCATTTCCACCCCTGAATACAGGTAAGCGATTGGGTTTTGTTTCCGAGTGTTTGCTGATTTGTTCCACTGATAATTCTGTACTCTTTTAATGTCCATTTATACATATTGTGTCTATGTGTCTATATGAAGAAGCCAAAGACAAATTTTCACCGAGGCACATCACAGTCTGTCTTAGAGCAAATGCCACATTGTTCATTAGGCCTATTCAGCTAAGCTTGGCCTGTGTTCAGATTGTCTATTCATATTCAAGCGGTGCAGCGGTGTAATTTAAATTTAAATTCCCTGCATGTGCTCTTCCTAACATCGACATCATTCGTAATCCACTTACGGTCTGTATTTTGGCCAGGATCTGCTTAATGGCATCATAGACGGCACAGATCAGAAGTAACCCATTAAAACAAATGTTTCGTATTGTTTCCTAATGCAAGCCAGTGCAGGTCTCTAATTGTCTGAGTTGGCTTAATACGAGACGCTGGCTGGGTTTTTGATTCGATTTGGAAACAGAGGAGGGAGAGAGAGGGTAAACGGCTCTGTATCATAAGCGCATATGACAGCGTAATGCATAAGAGTGATTCGGGTGTCAGCGTGAACGCAGGGATTTGAGTGATTCCCACATTAGTTGGGCTTATGAGTTCCTTAAGTTTGGAAGTTGGAGACTCTTCGCCGACGCTCATCAGTCTTTACTTTCATCCAAACAACACGAAAGGCGTGAAATCAAATCTGCGCCTGGGAAAAGACTGATCGCTCCCGTCCGTATGTGTGTGTGCGCGGCGGCTCCGGGAGAGGAGCTAAGTGTATCATTTATGTCGAGTTAAAGCTGCCTGTGGCGTTCGCCGTAGGGCCTCTCCTTTGTCATTGGGGCCCACGTCCAACACATGCATGCGTGCCCGGTAATGGCCTCTGGATGCATGTCGCCCGTTTGCTCCTGTGTTATCTGCGTGTAGGAGCTTCCGCGACACACGCGCCAACACGGCCTCCGCTCTGACGCAGCGGCGCGGCTAACGAGGTTGAAATTACAGTAGATACAGTAGAGCGGCGGTGGCGGGCTAAATGATTGAATCATTACTGCCGGTGGGGGCTCCCGCGCCTTGGGCATATTGCTGCCATAGATCAGCTCGGCTCCGCTCATCTGCATCCGTCACGCGTAACCCAGTTTGCGGCGCCACCGAGACGCCGAGATCTTTCGCGGAAAATTTCTGTCCGCCCGTATTACAGCCAGGGAGCGAAGAGGAACCAGTCAGAACGCAGAGCCCTCAGAAAGAAGAGTACAAATAATGAGGAAAGGAAGGCTGTGTTCAAGTGGACATTTTGAATATGTATAATATGAAGTGTTAGGATAAGCAAACACGGTTGTTCGGTTGCTACATTTTTTGATAGCTGCCCCTTACATTGTATAAATGAATGGACCAATAGAAAAATCCAAAAAGTACTGTCTGAATTACACTGAAAGATGCTAAGGTTTTTTTTTCTCCTATAAAGTCATCATTCAATCTATCTATCTATCTATATATCTATTGTTCAATATATATATCGTTCAATCCATATATCTATCCATATATCTATCTATCTATCTATCTATATATTGTTCAATATATATATCGTTCAATCTACATATCTATCTATTTATATATCTATCTATTGTTCAATATATATATATCGTTCAATCAATATATCTATCTATCTATCTATATATCTATCTATTTATCTATCTATTGTTCAATATATATCTCGTTCAATCTATATATCTATCTATCTATATATATCTATTTATCTATCTATCTATCGTTCAATCTATCTATCTATCAATCTATCTGTCTGTCTATCTATATATGTCTCCATCTATCTATCTGTCTGTCTGTCTATCTATCTATCTTTCAATCTATCTACCTATCTATCGTTGAATATATCTATCGTTCAATCTATCTATCGACCAATATATCTATCGACAAATACATCTATGAATCAATATATTGATATCAATATATCTATCGTTCAATCTATCTATCAGCCTATCTATCTATCCATCCATCCATCCATCCTTTTTTCTTCCAGGATAAATGTTGAAGAACATGTGGAAAAACATCACTTTTTTTTTTTAATCCCATCAGCAGTATCTGGTTTAATTTAATGAAGCACTGAATTAATTTAATTTAATTAAACATGTTATTGGATGATAACTACACATAATGCTGGGCTTGCTTCAGAAGAGGTTTGGAAAACATACTGACATACATAACATCACTACTTGGTTTGTATTTATTCTAATATTAGTTTTTTATGAGCAAATAAACACTTACTGCTCATTCCAATAGCTTGCTTAATATCATTTTCTCAGGTGCCTGAAACTTCTGCACAGTAATGTGTGCTTTTCAATAATAGGTTTCCCCAGGATGCTCCCATGATGCTGCTTAAGAGAATGCCAGGGGCTATTATTTATAATAAAATATACAATATGATATAATAAACCCAAAATATATGATATTTTGCTACACTGCCTTGGTCTCTGCATAATCTCACGTGTTATTCTGTAGTCTGTGTGTCTTCATGTTTATTTACAAATGTGGAAAGCAGTAAAACAGAGGAAAGGTCTCCTATGAGCACTGAACACAAAAACAAACACTTACACTGTGGTGAGCGAGTGTGTCACTGTCATTGTATTTGATAGCAGTGGGAAGAGAGATGACATCGTCTTTCGCGGCACAGGTGTCGACAGACTCCGCCTCTTTCTTAATTTCCACAGGTTCAGTTACCTGAGAAAAGGCAGAACAACATATTTAAACCATTCGCACTTCCACAATGAGCAAGAATGTTTTGCCTCCTTTAATAATCCTGTAGTCCTACAGTAATCTATAGTAATCTATAAACACTAAGGCTCCAAGACAAGTCCCTTAGGCATTTTTTACTTGGCAAATAAACCTGATTCTGATTCAGCAAAGAAAAAATGCACTGTTGCATGCAGTTCTATGCTGCGCCACATGATGGCAGTATCTGCACAGTGACAAATCAAGATGCTGATGTACAGGCCTTGTCCCATTCACCTTCACCCACCTCGTGTATGAGGCCTGCGCTGACCGTGATGGCTGCTGAATGCTGTGTACACCACATGCACTCAGATCAGTGCAAAATAATTGGTTTTCTAATTAATAATAACTGTTAAAAGTTGTACAATTTTGAAAATGTAATGCTTCATGTGTTCCTAAATTCTAGAGACCTTTTTGTTCTTATATGTAAAGCATGTGGATGTGGCTTTGGACCTCCTGTCCAGCAGGGTGGCTATTAGCAGTTACTTTAGTATTTAGTATTTAGAGAAGAAACAGCCATGAACCCTCACCAGCAGGATCTAACCAACACACGTGTTTGCAGAAACAAGTTTCCAACAAGGAGAGGTGAAAAACTTTCTAGTTAAAACATATTAGTGTTATTTATGATATCAATTGAAGAACTTAATGGACCTTATCCATTAAATCAGTTAATTCTCAATTTTCATTATCACTCATTTTAATTGTTGAGTGATAATTTAAGTGTTAGCTTTTGGCACTTCATTGTAGACCTATTTAATCTTTGGGCTTTTTTGGCCAGAATTCTCTGCATTTATTTGTCTTTCAGTGGAAAACTGGAAGTGCCACTTCTTAACAAATTTGGTGGCAGAAATGTCGGTGCATCCCCAGCAGAAACTGCTTAATTTGTAGAAAAATGAATGAACAGACATCTTCAAGGAATATAGACAAAAATAGACAAATGTACAGACAACAATGGCTGTGTTTACATGCGAAGATTTTTCCGACTGAATACAGTGAATACTGACTGAATACATTCTGATTATAGATTTAGTCTTAGGTGTTTATATTCTCTGCGATGGACTGGCGACCTGTCTAGGGTGTATCTTGCCTTTTGCCCAATGACAGCTGGGATAGGCTCCAGCACCCTACCCAGAAGGATAAGCAGTTTAGATGATGTGTGCGTGTGTGTGTGTGTGTGTGTGTGTGTGTGTGTGTGTGTGTTTATATTCTCACTCTACTCAACAATCTGATGAAAATCTCTGTTTACATGCTCACTGCAAGTAATCAGATCCAAAATTACATGCATGCACTTAGTGTAGACAATACCATGACAACCAGCATCACATGAGTCCAGTCAGAGTGAGATGAGCAGCAGTGAGCAGTGCTTGATGATGTCAGACTCAGGAAAGCGTCCTTCACATGTCCTTATTAAAGAAGGCCGAGAGGAAGACGTCGTGTTCTGAGACACGTAAGCTGGACGTCTGTCCCACCGCCGTCTTTTAAAGATCACAGCATAAACTTCGTCTCCTCTGCAGACCAGTTTCTGCTCCGCCATGTTGAACGTTATAAACTTTCACTATGATGTGACGAACATGATCAGAACGGACTTAAACTTTCTGATAGGGAATGTAATCAGATACAGACGTTTACACAGATATTATTCTTCTATTTAACAGATTATTCACAGGATTACCCACCTCAGTCAGTCAGATAGAAACTGTATTCTGAATGGCCTCAATGTATTCTATTTCGACTGAGCTAATAGTGAGATTATTAATGGATTATTAGGCTGCATGTAAATGTGGCTTCTGAGCCTTCAAGATTGCTAAGTACTGTTTTAGTGACATGATGTACTTTTGTCCATGTTTATAGATAATGGTAGGTCATACAGTGACAGAATCTTTCATGTTTCTCTCATGAACTACAGTCTTTACAATATCCTTTTGGTCTTTTTCTACAGCCTTGGTCTTAGGTCTATATTTTAACACCAAAACTTGACCCCCCCCTCCCCCCCAACCTTCCGTTATTTGTTAGCTACATCAGCCTCATAGCTCTAGTGCAAAACTACAGAGCTAAACTTCAGACACCAAACATGACTTGGCTCATGGAAAAAACTGTAAATTGGATTTTTCGCCTAACTACCGCCTCACCCAAACTGATCCCAGATCAGCCCCTGTGGCTCGGCTGCTTCAGTCCCGCTGTAATCTATCACACCGGCCCATTCCAGCCGTCCTCCTTTTGTCTCCGTCTGTGCGGATCAGCGAGCATTTGTCACTAATCTAATTTCGGAGGTTGAACGTGAGCTTTGGGTGGGACCTCTGGGTTCAGTACAGCTGTTTCAGACCCGCTCTGGCTTTTGTGCGCGAGCAGACGGACCGCAAACGGCACTGAATGGGAACGATTCCGTCTGCGGACAAACGGAATCGAGGGCCGCCGAGAAGCAAATCGAATCAAACCGATGAGGAGAGGAGACGTGAAGCAAATGAAAAGGGAACGAAAGAGAAGAAGACAAGAAAAAAATGGAGAGAAAAGCGCACCTTGGTGGCGTCCCGGGATGATTTGAAAGCCTGAGGAACAAAGGAGTCGCTCTCGATGGCCTCGATGTCCTTTATCCTCCTCACCTGCTCGGCGAGAGAGGCCTCTTCTGCAAAAAAAAAAAATGGAGAGAAAAGGGAAAAGAAGGGATGAGGGAGGAGAGAAAGAGAGGGAGGCAGAGGTCAGGGAAGAGGTCAGACTGTAAGAGGGATGAAAAACAGAGCAGGGACAATTCGATAAATGTCTAACTCACTGCTCCTTCTCTTAGAACAGATTAGAGAGAACATAGAAAACTGGGTAACATTTTAGTGTAAGGCAGTGTTTGTAAGGCAACATGATACCAACAAAAACTTGTAATGACATAAACAAACATTTATAAAGGCGTTTTCCAATGAAGGCTGCTTCCCCAAACTGTTGCCACAAAATCAGAAGCTTATAATTGTCGAAAATGTCTTTGTGTGGTGTAGCATTAACATCAGCCTTTACTGGAACTAAGGGGTCTAAAACCCTGAAAAACAGCCCCAGCCCATCATCCCTCCTCCACCAAACTTTACTGTGGGCACTGTACATTCTGGTAGGTAGCGTTCTCCTGGCATTCACCAAACCCAGACTCATCCAGCAGACTGACAGATAGAGAAGCGTGATTCATCACCCCAGAGAACTGGTTTCCACTGCTCTAAAGTCCAGTGGCGGTGTGCTTTAAACCACTCCAGCTGACACTTGGCATTGCGCATAGTGATCTTAGGCTTGTGTGCAGCTGCTTGGCCATGGGAGCTCAATTCATGAAGCACCTGACACACAATTCTTGTGCCGATTTTGCTTCCAGAGGAAGTCTGGGAACTCTGTAGTGAGTGATGCAACAGGGGATAGCCGATTTTTATGCGTCTATGTTCTCTGTGAGTTTCTGTGGTTTACCGCTTCATGGCTGAGCTGTTGCTCCTAGACGCTTTCATTTCACAATAATAGCACATACAGTTATCTAGGGCAGATCTAGCAGGACAGAAATTTCACCAGCTGACTTGTGGCAAAGATGGCATCCTATGACAGCTATGCAGTCTCTATATACGTACTTGATTGTATACACCCGTTAGCAATGGGTGTGGCTTAACACTTGAGCACAGTAATTAGGAGGGGTGCCCACATAAATTTGGCCATATAGTTTGTGTCACCTGCCATTGATTTCTTTATTAACATTGGGTTGTCATGACACTTTTTCGGTCAAATAACACAACATGCTACCAAAACTTTCAAGCTTAGCGTGTATCACAGTGACATACTGCTGATGACGTGACACAGCTTAAAGGTGCAGTGTGTAAGATGAAGTGGCATCTAGTAGTGAGGTTGCAGACTGCAACCAGCTGAACCAGCCCTTACCCCTCTCTTTCCAAGTGGGTAGTAGAACCTACAGTGGGTGTTTTTGGCCGTCGCCTGTCCCGACTTTGTTTTGCTTCTTCATGTTTTTGCTTCTCTGATGATGAGGATTCACCCTCCCTCACTTTTTCTTGTGCTAAGTATAAAAAATTTGGGTTCTCAAACTCACAACACAAAATGTTTAGCCAGCACCACTGATGATTCCTCTTTCTACGTCTTACAACAGGTCCTACAGTGCCACCAAATTCAAGGTGCTGCTTTATTGTAAAAACACGAAAGGCACTCTCTATAGCCAGTGTTTGGTTTGTCTGCTCTGGGCTACTGTAGAAACATGGTGGTGCAACATGCTGGAAGAGGACCCCTCCTCATGTAGATATGAAGGGCTCATTCTATACTAGCAAAAAGGCAGCGATTCAAATTTACAGGTGATTATACATTAATAAAAACATGGTTTTGTGCACTATATTCTGTTTCTGCTAATAGATCACCCGAAATCTTACACACTGCACCTTTAATCTTATGTATGGTAAATAACAGTCACTTCTCCTAAGGGCCACAGAAAATACTCACCTTTGTTCAACCAGCTTGACTTGGCAACCTATGTCACATGTCGCATTATGTCACTGTGACATACACTGAGCTACAAAGTCTATATCCTTTTACCCCAGACAGTTGTGACAAGCTAATGTCAGAAAAAATCTGTTCTCGTCCACTGATGTTACGTCAACCTGACACCAAAGCTGGCACATGCAACCTTTATGACAAAGGATGCTCATTGGAATAAGTGTTTGAAAATGTCTATGTTGGTCAATGTACACCAATCAGGATTTTATCAGCTCCACTTACTATATTACACTTTGTAGTTCTACAGTTACAGACTGTAGTCCATCTGTTTCTGCATACTTTGTTAACCCCCTTTTACTCTGTTCTTCAGTGGTCAGGACCCCCATGGACCCTCACAGAGCAGGTACTATTTGAGTGGTGGATCATTCTCAGCACTGCAGTAACACTGACATGGTGGTGGTGTGTTAGTGTGTGTTGCGCTGGTCTGAGTGGATCAGACACAGCAGTGCTGCTGGAGTTTTTAAACACTGTGTCCACTCACTGTCCACTCTACTGGACACTCCTACCTTGTCAGTCCACCTTGTAGATGTAAAGTCAGAGACGACAGCTCATCTGCTCCTGCACAGTTTGTGTTGGTCATCCTCTAGTCCTTCATCAGTGGTCACAGGATGCTGCCCACAGGACACTGTTGGCTGGATATTTTTGGCTGGTGGACTATTCTCGGTCCAGCAGTGACACTGAGGTGTTTAAAAACTCCAGCAGCACTGCTGTGTCTGATCCACTCAGACCAGCACAACACACACTAACACACCACCACCAACAAAAATGATCCACCACCCAAATGGTACCTACTCTGTGAGGGTCCATGGGGGTCCTGACCACTGAAGAACAGGGTAAAAGGGGGATAACAAAGTATGCAGAGAGACAGATGGACTACAGTCTGTAACTGTAGAACTACGAAGTGCACCTATATAGTAAGTGGAGCTGATAAAATGGACAGTGATTGTAGAAACAAGGAGGTGGATATAATATTATGCCTGATTGGTGTAGGGCTTAACAATAAGACAACTTTTATTGTTAATGAGATAAACTATGCCATGAAATGTCATAATATACTTATCTGAGCATATTATGGATATTGCTAGTGCTATAAAAACACTCCCCAAATGTTTGATTACAAAGACAGCATAATTAATCTTGTTTCATTGGATTTAGTGCAGCACAATATAAGAAATAATACAAATAATTCGTTTTTTAGTGTTTGAAAGTATTTTTATGCAGCACTATTTTGTCTGTCTGAAAAAAAGTGACATTACATATTATAAGAAGTTCCTGAAGTATCGTGATATTACACTTTTGCCATATCGCCTAGCTGTAGGTTGCTCCACAGCCCAATGCCGGAGGGCTTTGTACCCCTCCAGCCCATGCTTGGCATTGTGTCGCTGCTTCAGAGTATCTCATTTTATTGGTCAATGCTTTTCTATGGACATTACACAAGCTGTGTCAGTACCTGGTGCACTGTGAAGAAGTAGAAACAATTTGTCAAAACAATTTGTAATGTTCACACAATGAAAAGAGCAGCTGCCGCTTTCAAACAGTGTTAACAAAAAAATAAAAAAACAACCAAACAAACAAACCAAAAAGAACTTTCAAGGTCCTCTTAAGACAGCGACAGTATCTAAAACACCGTCTTTAACTTCTAAAGTGGAAAAGTAAATGAAAAGAGAGGAAAAGGACAGAAAGAGGATAGACAGAGAATTCAGAGTTATTTGGGAGTGGGAGAGAAAAAAGCAGGAAAAAACAATAATCTCATTGTTTCTCACCTGTCAACTCATCTGCCAATCAGTCAGCATGCACATTTCTCCATCTACCCACTTATCCCTCCCTCCGTTCCCTCCGCTGCTCTCCGTGCTTCTGTCTATCTATCTATCCGTCAATCTGGAGGACAGCTGTGTGTTCCTCCGCAAGTCGTGCGGTTTAATAACTCTATCTGCTCTTATCCTCTCAGCGCCGACTCGCACATGTAAAGATACAAAAAATACAATCGGAATATTCTCTCTCACAAGTACACATTCGATCACATGGTAATACTTTATTTGAAGGCCACCTTCATAAGGACGTCATAACACATGCATAAGCATTGAATAACCTATTTATAAAGCAATACTTGAGTATTTATGATTTAGATGTTTTGTGAAATAAATGACACTGTATTTACACACTCATTCAAGTATTCATTAGGCTACATAACACCTACATAAGCCTCGGGTCATCTTATGTAGGTCCTAAACATCTTATGTCATCTTGGAATTAATGGCATACGCTGGTCATAAATACTGCTTCATGAATATGCTATCCAATGCTTATATGTGTGTTAGGAAGTCTCTATGTAGGAAGCCTCACCTACTGTCCCCTCAAACAAGCAAACAAATCTCACTACTACTTACTTCTGAGTTACTCTCTAAAACCCAAACACCTCTTTATTTAGAAAGTAACAGCCATGCTGATTAAAATGATTAACAATCTTATCACTCCAGCCTCATTCAGAGGTGGTCAGACATGATGAGCACTGACTAGCAGGCAGGATGATGAAGAAGAGAGCATTAGATGGAGGATACTCAAACTGAGAGCCTCTTCTCACTCTGGGTCAATGACCGGGCTGGTCAGCTCGTATTGTAACAGGGAAAAAAGTAAACAAAGGTAAGACTGGAACGACATGTTGCCGCTGACTTTTTAAGCAGGGAAAGTACAATCCGATCTTATCTGATCAGACTATTGATTCACACTAGTGAACACACACACTAGGGGGCAGTGAGCACACTTGCCCAGAGCAGTGGGCGGCCCTATCCACGGCGTCCCAGGAGCAGTTGGGGGTTAGGTGCCTTGCTCAAGGGCACTTCAGTCACGTACTGTTGGCTCAGGGGGTCGAACCGGAGACCTTCCGGTCACATGGCCGGTTCCCTAACCTCCAGCCCTACTTTAAGAGTAACACGGGTCAGTAATTGTAGTGTGATTACCTGAATTTAAAAGGTAATGTGTTAAAACTGCACGCAATACCGGAAAAAGCATTTCACTATCATGACCAACACTGCGACCCAGCTTGAAACTATTTTTTTCAGATTTACAAATATTGAAGTATATATCCGAAAAAAAAAAAATATATATTGTTTCCAG